GTTGACATTAGTAAAGTTTGAATGTGAAAAATATTAGTGCCAGATTACTGAATGATATATTTAAAATTGAAAAATTCCATTAAAGAACGTTTATGTTTTATGAATGCATGCGATTCTAAATACTGTTGCTATGAGCTTAACTTATTGTAAATTAGGGAAACATACTAAGGAATTTTTCTAGTGTTTTATAATTTACATTTTTGGTATCAATTTCGACAGTTTCTTCATAATACAAAGTTTATCAGTATCGTATTCAATGTGAGGTTTTGAAGAAAAATGACATATTTTTGGTTGTAAATCTGATTGTTTTAAACAAACTCAGAACCTTATTTGTCACTGCAATAAACAATAGGATGTAATGTAAAGTAAATTTTAAATGTAAAGTTAAAATGTAAAGTTAAATTTGGCGCAATATAAAACTGTTAAATTTGCTGAAAATACTTTAAAAAATTCACATAAAAATGTATCAAGTTTTATGGTTTCAAAAATGTATTCTTGGCTGAAACAGAAAAAAATTATGCAAAATTGTCATATTAAAGAAATATTTCTCATTATTGCATTCATCTTTTGAATAAGCCAATCACAATAAATTTAAGACCGATTTAGCTTCTTGATATCTTATATCTGTAATCTAATCCTCAAGCAAACTCCTGATTTTGTTAATAAGCAGCTTAGCCAAAAAAAAAGCTTTCAAATTCTTTCCTTATTTGACGAACAAGAATCTTGCAGAAAAGTTTAATCAAGACATATATTTCAAAATTTATTCATCAGTGAGTCAACGATTGCCATTCTTTTCCTTGTCCAGTTGTCATGCAAGCTGATTTGACTATAAATTTATAAGTTTTGAAAAACGTTTGCATCAAAAAACCCAATTTTGACCCAATTAAATTTTTCATTGTTTCCCATAATTTCTCTTGTTCCGGAATTTCTCATCTTTTTTCAAAAATTGAAATTTTAATTTTCTGTTAAAAATATTATTAACAGTATTATGGAAACATGGAAAATAAAGTGATACAAATTTGCATTTTAAGCAACTCCCTATTAAATTTTTTTTTCTATAAAAGATAAAACGTGCTTAAAAATTCTATTTCATTTGTCTAGAAAGAAAATAAATTTTGAGACATCCACCCACCATGATCTCAGTAGTTCTATACTATAATTAAATATCAACGATAAAATTGAATTGGATTAAGTTGTAAATGAGTTAGGAATGTTTAAATTTTCTTTAAGTTTTGAATTAATGTTGATGCGATATTCAACAAGAGCAAACAATTTTTCGATACAATGTGCAAGCATCAAAAGTTTTAGTTTAAAAAATTTCCAAAAAATGAATTAAATATCTGAATACAATAAATGGAAATAAAAATAATTTTGTTCTCTCATTCGGTTGTGAAATTTGAAAATTATTTATGGCATTTTTTTATAACAAGGTGCGCATAGGAGTCCAAAAGGTATGACAATATATGAGTGAAAATCTATGTAAATAAATATATAAAAAAATCACTACAATTTTTTTGTGAATAAATCATAATTATACATAAAAAAATTTATTTTAATGGAAAAAACAGATTTTTTCACTCATTCGAATGCCTTATTCCTACTTTTTGCTCTTCGTTGTTGTTGAAACTTTTTTCTCTCATTCACTATGCAGTTCACAGTTTCCGTATTTCGCATAAAATGTTCACGCTATTGCTGATGGCAAAGCATTGGAAGTTATTTGCAAATAAAAACATGGTATATGATTTAATTTTTTTACTCGCTTGTACTTGTTTCTTGCACCGTTAAATAATAAATAGAGAAAAATATATAAATTTATAAAACTACGAGAAATTATTTTATTCCTCAGCAATAAGTTATTTTATTAGCTGCAAAATATTGAGTATAAATGAAATCCCAGGGGTGTTGCAATTTTGCTATGACAAGCGAAATAGAAATGAAAATTAATTAAATGATGATTTAACAGGGGATGAATTTTTCATGAAGTTAATTTCGATTAAAGTGTAATTTTTTACACCGTGTGTTTGTAAATATTTATTAGTTCATAAAAGCCTTTATCAGATTATTTTTGGTTAGTAACTTGTATGAGTTATCGACTTAAGTAATTATTTAAAAAAAAAAACTACTAAAATTAGTTTAAATTTGTTTTTAGTGGAAAAATCAAATGTTCAAATTTTCAATAATGGAATTTTTTTGTCGAGCTATTATGACTTTTCTTTTATAAAAAACTATTCAAACCTTTATTTTATAAAAAATCAATAACTATAATTTTCAATTTAAATAATAGATTTTATCGCAGCTTTATTAGAGACACATTCGAATGATCATAAAATCTATTTAAAATTCAAAATTTTTCAAATTTTTGGAAATTGCAATGGGCATGTGACTAGACTTTTTCGAGGCTGATTTTTGTTATTTTACACTTTAATATTAACAAGATTTGTGAGAAATTCTAAGGATATCTTTATCCCGTAATCTCGGGATTGAAGCTTTTCTAATCTCGGGATTGCGGTATTGGAAAATCGGTCCAGACCCCGGGATATCGGTTTTTGAGCTTCCGGGATTAAAATCCCGAATCGCAACAATGAAAAAATCATTTTTAAAAATTTGTTTGCATTAATCATTATTAATAGTATCTATAAAAGAAAAAAAAATAAAGTATTTTGTAAAAAACCACGTTTTGCGTGGAATAAAAAGTAGAAAATAACCTTTCTTCTGGGTTGCAAAGAATTTCGTTTTAAATTTACAGATTATATTTAATAAATTTTTATATCTTAGTCAAAATCGTTCACAAAGTTTCGATTTTGAGCATTATAAATATAACATCATCATTATAAGTATTACATCATCGATATTGGATTATTTTTCCAAATATGCCCTAGCTTTTTTGTGATTCCAATGTGCTAAAATATTATATTGTCAACGGGAAAACGTGAATATAAAAAATTTAAGCTCGATAGGATAGAAGTGGTCGAAAAATCGATTAAAAAAGTACGAAATTTTGCGGACAACCAATTAATCAATCAAACAGATAAGAAAGCAAGTTAAGAAAAACGTATTAATAAAAACGTAGTAAAAAAACTTGAACGGAAAATGATAAAAAATTAATTGTATTAAAATTAATTAATTCGAATGTATGGAATTGATTTTAGAGTTACTGTGATATTTAAATTCGAAAAACCTTTCACATTCACCACTATGCACGCTTCAATAAACTTCCAAATCATCATTTTAAAAAATTTTACTAAAGCAATTTTATATGAATTTGACAAATAAATAATCTGAGAAGATCTGGAGTTGTCATACAAGTTTCAATCGACATTCCCATAAGCAAGTTACTAGTATGACATAAACATACAAACAAATTAGATAAAATGTTAAACAGTTTCCTTTTCTTAATCCGAAAAATATTGAAAACTTGTTAAAATTTATTGCACATTTATAGAGTGATAAAATTCATGAAAAATTGATCTCATTTATTACATATTATCAACTTAATCTAATAAAATTCTATCCGGTGTTAAATTTTTAACAGTTTTGCTAAAAAAATTCCTCAATAAACGTCACAAAAACTTTTAACTAAAACATTTAGAAGTGATTTATATTCACAAAAGATTTGTTTTGGGAAAGAAGTTCTATCTCCTTGATGATTTCTCTCAAAACATTTTCGCTCGTTTCGATTTGACTGCAATCTTCATAAATTCAATAAAAATTTTTATAGGTCAATTTATTACAATTTACTTTAGTTGGCAAATTTGAGTCATTGTCATCAATAATGATGTTTCGTTACATATGATTTTATCAGAGATCGAAGCCGATTTTTTCGGCTTAACTCAATTTTTGATTTTTTTGATAGAAAAAAGCCATTTAACACCCATTTTAAGTATTTAAATTGAACTTTACATGCTTTACTATGATTCTGTGAAATATTTTTTCAGCATGTAGCTATAGTGACCTTAGAATTTCAAGTTAAAGAATGTTAAGCCGAAATTTAAGCCGATCGGCTTAAAATCAGCTAAATTGAAATTCAGAGCTTACTATAGCTACATGCTGAAAAAATATTTCACAGAATCATAGTAAAGCATGTAAAGTTCAATTTAAATACTTAAAATGGGTGTTAAATGGCTTTTTTCTATCAAAATAATTAAAAATTGAGCTAAGCCGAAAAAATCGGCTTCGATCTCTGGATTTTATTGTTATTTAAATAAATACTAGCTAAAGAGAGTTCATTGAACTCCTAATTTGAGCAATTATGATTAATATATAATTTAACCTTATTTATAAAAGAATTTTATGTCTGCATATTTTTACTCTATTTTTTATTCTATTGTTTTCAAATTTTTTGTTCAGTTCGTAAAACAACAGTAAAATCTTAACACGATACTAAAATTTTTATTAGAATTTTTGATGACAACAAATTTATTAAAGCTACTTTATGTTGTGTGTTGAAAATCTTAAGTTTTATTAGCTGCTGAAGTGCTGGAGTCAAATGTGTAGAGCACACAACTTTTATTTATTACAACTTTTACAGATTTATTGATCTTGTTCCACCGTTTAACTCTCATTTAAGAGGTTAATAGAATGTAAAATTTTGTCAAGTGTTATTGCCGAAAATTCAAAACAAATAAATTTATATTAATTTTTTGTGAGTTTGTAAATTTGTAACTACAATCATAAATATCTTTATGATTTGATTCGAAACTTTGCACTAGATTTTCAATCCTGGATGAAGTCGTTTGAACTATTCCTATTAGTGTATGCAAAATTCATAAAACTAATTTAATCATAATTTTATTATTGTGATCGTTGGGAAAATAAATAAAAGTAGCCTAACAATAGCGTGCCACATTTTAATTAATTGAATTTTCAGAAGGCTCCGAGGCATAAATTGAAATAAAAAATAAATAAATTCAGTGAATTTCAATTACAGTTCAACAGAGCTTTTTATTTTAAAAGAAAAATGAATGAACAGAAACATAAAAAAATTATGCTTTAAAACTTACCGTTGACTATGCACGTGGGAGGATTCTCTTGCCACTCATCTGTATCCAAGTCACATGTGATTGTAGCTTTTCCTTGCAATTTGTAACCATTGAAGCAGGAATAACTTGCACTTACAAATTCTTCATTGTCATCATATCGTATTACTACAGCAGCATTATCCACTTCAGGTGGCTTCTCACAGTCTTCGTGCTTTGCACTTCTTTTTCTTGCGTATGAATCTGCATTGAATAATTCAATAAGACATGAAATTAATATCGAGATGGAGAAGAAGGAAAATATTGGAAATAAATAGAAATAGAAAATTGAAATCTACGATTTGGGAATTTTATCTCATTTTCGAGTATTTGGTAAAAACGTGAGTGGGAATTGTCCATTCAAACAGTTGTCTTGTCAAATAAATCATGAAAACTTGAAAATAATTTAGAGTAAAATTTTGCATTTATTTTGTTTGATTCCATATATTGAAAGTTGGACGATTTCAATTATTTCTGTGAATTTATGTACTTGATTGGTTTTATTTCCTTTTTAAGTGACAAATTCTGCGAATCCAAAAAAAAAAAGAAGTTTTGAAGTTTTAAAAATTTAAAAGTTTTGGAATGCGCTTGAAGACGCCCACAAATTCAATAGCTTTTTGCATCACTATCCAATAAATAGAATTATATAGTTTAGTCATAGAAAAGAAAATGAAAAATTGGAATTTTTATGACAGATTTATTGCAATTATTAAACGATGAGCTGCTTGTTATAAAAATCGATTTTCATACGCCTTACGATTTATGAAAATTGTCACATAAATTCTACCTAATAATTTGATATATCTCTTAAGTAACACCATAAAATAATATCGAATATTTTTTTCCCATTAATAGTAATTTATCATATTGCTTTGGCTATAAATTTTTCTCTCTTTTCTTATTCAGGCAAACACGTTAGTCTTGAACATTTTGCTTATGAATTTGGATAATTTCATTGAATGATCGATGTCATCATCATTGAAAGATTTTAAAAATCAAAAGTCTCTCATTTTCCTTCTGTTTATTTTACGCACACAAATTTTCTCTTATTTTTCTCAGCTGTGGCGCTGCACGCACACACATTTTCTGTTTACATTCTCATCATCACTATGAGTATATATAAATTTTTACCGGTAATATTAATATATATTTTTTTTCCATGTTTTTATTTCGGCACCGAAAATTCATTCATCTGCCATTTGAAGCAATAAATTAAATTATGAAATTTATCATCACAATGGATTTAAAATTTATTGGTGATGTGATAATATGAAAATTGCTTATTTTTCTATAGCAAAATGTGTAGATTTAGAGAAAAATGAAAGTGTTCAAAGTAGAGCAATATCATTTTGGAAGATTAGTCAGTTTTTTCAAGTCGCAGAGATTGGAATGTTACATTTTTGTTATTAGAATTTTTGTGTTTGATTTACTAGCAGAGATTTTGATAGAGATTTCAGAATGATTAATGAATCAACTTGGGTGGTTAACTTGTTTTTTTCAATCTACTGGCTGAAATTCATACGAAAACTTTATTATTCATTAAAATCATAGAGGAGAAAATATTTTAATAGGTAATAACTTTAGAAATCATTAAAACCAAGGACGAAACCTCCCTTAATGAGTCTTAAGAATTCTGGTTCCCTTTAATTAAATTGATAAACTAGGTCAAATTTTCTTTGCCACATATAAATTAATTCGGTTCTAACAAATCAGAGACTTCTCATATTTCTTTTTACTTTTTTCATCCGTAAATTTTCAAATATTTCTCTATGAATAATTTCTGTTTTTCGAGTCATATTATACACCCACCCAATAACTATCCCGCTGAATATCACTTCTAATAATTTAACTATAAAAAATAGATATTTTTGTATTTTCCACCAAAACATGCCATTTGAGAGCAGGTTGAAGATAAAATGCACATATTTGGTCACACACCAAGTAAATCTTCTCTTTTGGTATTCGACTTCTTACCGATCATCAAATAACAATTAAAAACATATAATCTTTAACAAACTGCCACTTTAAACTGACAAAAATCATTATGAACATTTTTATTGTTTGGTCAATTAATTCATTATTGACACCTCCAGCTTATTGTTTTCTCTGTTGTTTTACGTTAATATCAAAATCATCAATGTGTTAATTAATATCCATTAAAAATAGCTTCTACTCCTGTTGACTTAGTGCTAACGTGTTAGAATATCTTTATTTATTTTATGAATGAACGAGCGAAAAAATCATTTCCATAATGCCCAATTAATTTGTTCAACTACCGCCTCTTCCATATCAAGAGATTGTCTCAATATACATATGAATGTGATTTAAAACCACCGTGTTGTGACGATGAGAAGAAATGATCATCATGAGCAGATAAAAGTATAAAACTTGAATTGCCAATAATTTATCAATATAAATTAATGTGTGGTGCACATTTTTATCATGATGGTATATTGATTAAGGGTACAAAGAAGCAAAAAGATATAATATAAAAAAGAAATTGACCAGATGAGAAAAAGCATTACCTTTAGTAATCGTTAAAATTTATTACAGGTCTGCAAGATTACTTATAAAAAATGAGATATGAGAAAAAGGGTTTGAAAATTATGAACCCTCGAAATTTATAAAATACTGGAGATTAATTTTTTTTAAAGCTATAAACATATCACAAGATTTTTTAATTTCGAAAAACTGAAAAATAAAATATTAGAATTATTGCATCTTTTTATTTTTTTATTATCTTTTTAAAATCCGTGACAACGATAATTTTTCTTCTAACAAATTTAAATAAACTTCTAATTCTCAAGTTTCAACCCTCTGACATTTTCAAGCATAATTTAATGCATATATTTTAACCATAAATAAGTTTATTTACATTAGTTTATGCATTAATTTATTATGCTTCTTCGCTCAACATAAGCGTGGGTAAAGTTTTTTACAACTCAACCATATCGAAGCTCTTTTTTCATTTCTAATGCACAAATGAATGGACACATAATTTTGGAGTCAGTTATATTTTTTTGAATAATATTTTAATAAAAATTTATGTCATTTCACTTTGGTTTTTGTATTTGAAGTTTATTTTGAATTTTCACCGAGAATAGAAATGAAAAGAGGAAATTAAATCTTTTTCATCACCTTTATGAAAAGAGTAAAAATATTTCGTCATAAATTTTCCTCTTTTATCACATCCCTATTGTATTATTAAAGAAGATTTTTTTGTGTGTTGAAAAGTTTTACACATAACACTTTTCCTTTCTTTCTTCCTCTTACATTCTCTCCTTTTTATGTTCTCTAAAAAAAGGACTGAAGATGTTGAGCTCCAAAAGGCTCCAATGAAAAGATAAATTTCTATGTATATGGGCATGATCTAAACAATTAAAATATAACTCCTTTGGGAAATTTGTAAGAAAAAAATAAAATCTTCTCGTAAATGAAATAAATAAAAACATTTTCATTTATGAGATACTTTTCAGATTGTTGTGTTTCAAGTTAAATAATGTTGAAGTGCTTGCTAAAGCATAATTTATTAGATCAAAACATGAAAGTTTAAGTTATTTTTAAAGATTTTTCTTTAAAGATATTAATAAAATTGAATGAATCTGTCCACTGAATTTCAATATTTATCAAGAGTTTCAACTTTTAAAAGACATTACATCAATAATTTTAAAAAAAAAACATTTAAAGCAGAAATTATTTAAAAATTTCTCAGTAAATTCAAAAACATTCCATCTGTCTCACAAATATTGTATACAGATGGTAAGTCAACATTTCATTTAATTAAGTTTAATAAAAGAAAATTTACGTCCGTCCTTAAAGAAAAATTCTCTAAAAAAGAAGAAAATTTAGCCTAACCCATATCAAACTTCCATCTTCCGTTTTCTTTTCTTCTCAGCCACAAGCAATTTCATGTTTTCAATCTAACAAACACTATTGATTTATTTGCTGTCAAAATTTTGACAATTAATTCCCTCCTAAAACAACAGAAACAGCTCATTAGGTAGTGTAGCTGTAAATCTTTGATTATGATTATACTTATTTTTAAATCTCCCCCTCCCCTCGTAATAAGTGAACGGCCACTTTCTTTGAGTGTTTATTTTTATATTTCGTTGATATTTTTTTTTTTTTGAAGATTCCATAAAAATAAAAATCAGTAGGTTACCGATGTCTAAATCAGCTTTCTAAAGTATTTAGTTTCTTGATTTTTGCATCTTGAAACTATTTTTTTAAATCCTTTTAAACATTTTTCCGACTTTAATGATTCACGATTTATTGTTATGTAAAAAATATAAAAATTTAATAAAATTAAGAGTTGATACTTTACACTATTAAGTCAGTTTAAAATATGTTCAATCTAATTAAAGTATGAATACAACTTATTAACACGCTTTAAGAGAAACAAGATTTAAATCTTTTTAAGAACCAGAAAAAATTAAAGGAACTGTTTATCAAAGATATAAAAAAAATAAAATTTATTTTGAAATATCTCCGGAAACGGATGCTAACAATGTTCGTAAAGCAAATTTTTTTGTCTTTAATCTCAATCGGTAATGCATAAGTTTATTTAGTGAAATTTGATTTTTTTCATAAAGCAATAAATTGCGAAAGTTTTTTACATTTTTAGGTAAACAATTTTCATATTTAATTCCTTAGAAAGACGTAATGGAGTAAATTCTGTGCATTTTTTTAAGATGAATTGGTTATACTTTCACGCAAAACTTTTCATTCTCTCAGCTCGAATGATTTGGAAAGTTTTCCTGATAAATTTTTTACTACTTTTGTTTATGATTATTAAAAGAGCAAACGTTGTTAAGAATTTTGAATTTGAATAAGTTTTGTTTTAATGAACTTTTGAGGATTACAATTTAAAAAAAAATAATTGAAACTTTCACAAAAAAAATGAAAAAATTTCACAACTTATTGAATAAAATCGTATCATTCTGAACTGATTCTAGAACAAACATAAAAACTTAAAAAGAAAATCCTTCTGCAAAACTTTTACCAGATGTAAAATGTTTAAAAATTTATTATCTTTCTAAGGAAACTTCCTAAAGTTTTAGCATTACATTTTAACAAAAAATTAAAGTTTGCCATTTTAATTACTAAATCTGTCATAAAATTAAAGCTTCCTGTAAAAGTTTATATTTTCCTTCTCTGCATCATATAGTTTTTTCTAATTCCCATTCTCAAATGAGATTTTATATGAAAAATATTTGTGTCACAAAAATAATTTTTTGTGTGTACATCGAACAACATACCTTGAACATTTATTACCAAGAGACTTAATATGATTAATGAAATTAACTTTATCATTTTCCTACTTATTTTTCTCTACATTTATCACTTCAAGTCTAAAGTTTTACATAAATATGGAATTTTCCTCTGAAAATTTTTTTTATCAAAAATTTCACTTTCTATTCTACAGCACAAATGCTCAATCCTGAATTATCTAACAATGGCACTAGAATATATTTTTGCTATATAAAAATACACCTAAAGCAATGCACTTGTGGGAAAATATAATCCGGTATCTATTTCAATCCCACATTCACTTTTTCTATGCGTTGAATTTATTTCTTCACGACTTAATTTCAACCGAACAACTCGATCTGCGATCAGTAACTGAAAGAATATTGTCAAACATCTTCCTATTATATTTTCATCTTCTTCTTATTTTCTTTTCTCTTCTTCTTTTCTTGACCACCATCTCTTCTCTAATTCACGCATTTTTCGTGCATATCAGTTTTATTTTTTGACTATAGAAATATATATTACGATATATCGTCTGTTTAGGCGGTAAATGTGTTCTGTAAAAATATTTTAAACGAAAATAGTCGCATCAGTTGAATTAGAATAATTTATCTCATCTCATGACTAATTTCGACGAGAATAGATCATTTTTGCACATTCTAATTTTTTTTACTGTGGTATAAAATTTCAATCCTTAAATTTTATTATTTAATTGACACCAGTAAGCATGTCAAGATGTATAATTAGAGAAGCTGCATTGAAATTTAAATATTTTGAAAATACAGATGTATTTCGCAGAAATGATTTAGTTGTTACACGCCTACAGACAGTGTTCTACATTTAAAGTATCAATAAAAGGAAACATTAATCATTAATATATGAAATATTTTAAAAATGTTATACATGAATTGAAACTTTATGATGTTTCTATGATATTGTGGTTATTTTGAACATTATATCTTTAATAGGTAGAATAGTACAATAGAGTTGTAAGGATTTTAAACTTCAATAATTCAAATCTATTTCGTGCTAATTTTGAAAGTCTAGTATATATATTAATTAATTATTATTTTCTTTGAATACAGCTTTTAAGTTTTCTGTACTTTCTGAAAACCTTCATTTTCCAGATAGCTTATTGAAAAATCTATAATGCTCCAAATTACCATACTAATTAAATTTGTAATTCGATTTGCTTAAATCAATCTAATTGATGTTTTTATTCAAAATTTACAAATCATATCAGTAAAAGAGAATCATATTGAATTGAGAATACCAATAACAATTTGTTTGATTATAAATTTTACTGTGTTATTTTATGCTTATAAATTGAAAGTAATGAGACTTTTGAATGTATTTAGTTATGTGATTACAATAGAATTTTTAATTGAAGATCAGATAAAAGAACTTAATTGAAGAAACTTTTATGTGAAAACATTAAAAAATATCTTTTGGCATATTTGAGGAGATGAATTACCAGATGGCAAAAAGCCAGGAACAATTTTCAAGAGGTCAATAATTGACTACAGTTATGTTCAAATTTTTTTTAAGCCTTTAACTTGTAACGATTCTGATAAATTGTATTGGTTAAATTGAAATTGTGCCAAAAAAATTTAGTCTAATTTGCAATCATCAAAATAAACTACTTAAGAATGGCGTCAATTTAGAAATAAAATTTAACAAGAATGTGAAAAGGTCATTTGAATGAAAAAACAATAACACCAACCATATGATTTTTGTTTATAAATAATGAATCATGCGTGGTGATGTAAAACACACTCTCAAAGTTTTGAAAGCAATAAAATTCGTCAGTGATTTTTCCAAAGACCTTCAAACTTTTTAATATTTTAAACATACAAAAAAAAAATTTTTTTTAAAAGCTTGTCAACCAAAAACTAAAAGCTTTTAAAAAAGAATTTATCAATAATAGGTTTTATTCGAAATATTAAATAAAAGCAATATTTTTTTGAAAAACAAACTTTTCCATATATATGTTTCTCATTTCGTAAAAAATTCAACCATGTGAAATACTCGAAAATAAATGTTGAATGTGTTCTTGTCAGAATATTCTTTATCATACAAACAAAAGTAAATTTTTTCGTAATCTTTTTTCATTGTTAACTACTTTTATCAATTAAAACAAAAATGTTGTATATCCAACGCAAATCTACACAAAAAAATAAATAATCGATAACAGTTTGTTTGGACGAGCTCAATTGCTATAAAAGTTCAGTATTTTTAAATTTGCCAGACAGTAAAGAATAACCATAGAATGAAAATAATTAATTTCGTGTTAATTGTATTTGTCTGTTGTAATGCTAGACAATTTAAAGAGCTTAGAAACGGACCAAGTGAGATTGAGAAATTTCAGAATGAATATTCAAATAGGATAGCATTTGGTGAATCTGGTATTAAATTTTTCAAAACAATTTTTAAAGGATGGTTTCTAGTTTCAAACTAATTACAGCAAACATTGGGGATTTTTCACATATGTTGGCGATGATAAGTGCCACTACAGAGGGTAGGTCTAAAAGGAATAAATAAAAATCACAAAATTAAATTTCATAATATTTCAGTTTTTGTTTGTGGAGCATCAGCAATTCATAAGCTGTGGGCAATAACAGCAGCTCGTAAGTGTTTTAAGAAATATTTTTAATTGCATCTAAACATTTTATAAAAAAAAATAGATTGCGTTGCATCATTACATCCATTTCGCGTGAAATTTCGTGGTGGATCTGCAAAAAGACAATCTGGAGGTTCAATCTTTATAATTGAAAATTTTTGGATTCATCATCAATATGATGACTGGAGGCTTGCATTTGATATTGCAGTAGTAAAAGTTTCAGATTCTACTCCAATCGAAGGTATCAACATTAAACCTATTGGATTACCTTCAAGTTGTGATGCTCTTTGCTGTGGTGTATGCACAGGAGTCGAAGTCACTGCATTAGGTATGTAACATGTAGCATTTGAAGTACGAAATCTAATAAAAGTTCACTTCAACAGGTTGGGGCGTAAGTAAATTTAAAAAATTGAATAGATTTTTATGTATGGACCTATTTTAAATCATAGTTAAATGAAAATGTGCTTGATCCTGAAAATCTCTCAAAAATAACAACACCAGTTTTTGATCATGAAAACTGTAAACATATGTGGATAAATAGTGCATATAGGTTAAGCTTAGGACCAGACTATTTTTGCCAAACAGTCAATGAAGGAAAAGGAACATGCAGAGGTGATTCAGGATCTCCAATCATAATTGGAGAAAATCAGAATAAAATTCAAGTTGGAATTGTCAGGTATAAAAAAAAAAGATTTTAAAGTCTTATAAAAAAATGGACAATTGTAAAATGATACATTACAGTTTTGCAACCTACACATGTGGTGAAGCTGTTTCACTTCCAAGTGGGTTTTTACGTCTTGAATACTCTCCTATTAGAAATTGGATTAAAAGAATGACTGGAGTATAAAAAAAGTGTAACAAATTTAAATTCAATACATTTATGATCCTCTTATAATTTTACGCATTTTTCTATCAGGAAACGTAAAAATGTGTATAAATGTACAAAATGCTTAAATGCTGATTTAACTCTAAATTATTTTAAAATAATATTGTAAACATTGAAATATTAATTAAAGATTTGAAAAATATATTTTGCAATAATCGGTTGCTGAAGAATCAATTAACGCCATTTTCAGTAATTTCTTCTCATTAAGTAAGCCCAGTTGATTACGTTGATCTTCATTATGTGAATAAAAACATCACACAAGTCACAAAGATCAAACTTTTAGCAAAGACACACCATTTTCCTATAAAAAGCATTTTAAGCTTGTATATATATATATATATATATATATATATATATATATATATATATGTGTTTTTCTAAATACAGAAATTTCCATCGTAAGTATTGTTTCAAGCACTCACACATAGAACGTTAAGATCTTCATTCATGAGATTTTTAATACAAAAGTTGTGTATTTTTCTACCAATTTCTGACTTTAAACTCCGCAAACTAATTAAGGTATGGAAATGAAACTTAAAATTGACAAAGAATTGAAGAAGAAAATTGTAAATGCAAATATGTTGGGTTGAAAATTGTTGTGAAAGAATCAAATAACATTTAACTTATGATGCAAATAATAATAAATTGAATCAAAAATCAAAGATTTTTATGCCAAGTTGTATTACGTAATGTGAATGCAGGAAAGAGAGGAAAAAAAATCAAAGTTATTTAATATATATATAAACATCATCATCTAACGAGACTTTTTGTGGGTTTGTAAGCTTTTTCTTTGTGTCGAAGGAAATGCAAAGTTTTTTAAAATTAATTTTTACAACAAAGAGGATTTCTTTTTGGGGATTTCGAGAGAAAATTTGATTTGAAAGTTTCAGATAGATAAGGGAAATTTCAGTCAATTAAATTAAGCAATCTGTAGCAATATCTAGGAAAAAATAGTTGTAACATTATCTATTCTCTTTGCCATACGAAATATTAAGAGTCTAATCATAAAATCGATCCTTCTAGAAATCCTACTTCAATTCAATGAAAGATAGTTCAAAAATGTAACCTTTACATTTAAAAAAGTTTATTAGAAAACTTTCTTATTATTCTTTAAAACATTATCTATTATTTACAGTAGTATTATTTCCTCATTCTTTTCCCTATCGATTTTAATAATTTCCTTTAGAATCTAGATTACTCTGAATATTTCTTATCACAGAAATTTTAAAAGCTAAATATTTCATGATTTGTTCATCCTTAATTAGTCAATCTTGATGATTCATCATAAAAATACATTAATGGAAACGAGTTTCTCACTTCCTGTACCAAAACCAATTTCTTGAAAAGGTCAATTTTCCATATTAAACAAATGATAGTGATTTAAAAGATTAGCAACAATTTGTTGAGCTTTCACGAATTCCAGTCTTCGAATTTTCGAACACAATGTCCTCGTTCGTTCCAGTGTAATATTCTTTTTGTAAAAGCCGCATATACAAAAAGAAAATTCCATTCCAAAGTTTTTTTTTATCATAACGAGACATTTTCATTCATTCCAGTATACGCATCTTATCCGAAAAGACGTGAAATATTTCAGTTCATACAAAACTAAATTCAATTTTCTTTATAAATTCATCCAGACATCCAGTGTGACATTGAGTATGTAAGACTAAGAAGAATAAAAATTGTGGTTTTAAATTAATGAAATATTGAGAATAAATTTCATGTAATTGACATAAGATGGGCATTTAATAAAGTTCCAATCCAATATATTAAATATTGAATGATGTCTGAAGACATCTAAAATTATTTGAGAAAATCAACAGTGTACAAAAAAATCTGCTGTAAAGAAAGAAAGAAGAAGCAAGATTGTGTGAATGAGTAAAGGAAACAATATTGAATGATAAAAAAAAGTAGTTTCGAGGTGATGACGATAATGTTCCTTGATTAAAAATCAAGTAAATTGTGTGTTAATAACTTAAAAGTGTCGATTGGAACTTTTTGAAGCCACACATAAAAGGAAATGTGAATGACCAATTTTTGACATTTCCTCAAGTTGCTCCTTCTTCTCCTCTTCATCAAAATACCATAGAGTAAATTAAAAGAATTTTTGAGAAAGTTTCACGCACGTCGGCGATTTTTTGTTGTTTACTGGTAAGAGAAATTACAATTTATTGCAATTAAGTTAATTACACTGAAACACTTATTGAGACATTTACATATTATGTGCTGGTGGCATATTATCTGCCTTATATTTCAATCATATTTTTCATCCATTTGCGTGTGTACTATTCTCAAGTGATAGTAGGAAGGACTTTAACTTTAATAAATAGATACAATTTGATAATTTCTACACATATGTGAGCATGGAGGAACCCTATTATGGTTGATTATAGAAGAAAATTTTCTTCCTTTAATTTTCTCTTACCACCATTGCTATCTTGATAAATTTATGAATTATTAGCAATTCAAGCTCACACCTTTCTTTTATTCCTTTCTATATTGCACGTAAGGTGGAAAAATGCCGACATTGGAATTTACGAAGAATCTACTTGATCTCTTATCATATTAAATGGAAAATCTGTCAATTGATACGCTTAAAGCTGCTTAAAGTCATCATCATGGGATTGAATTCTTTCGAATGTGTTAAATTTGATTTAATGGCACTTCTTTTTTCCAAGAAAGAATAGAATACAAAAGAAAATAAAGTGATCCATCTACATTTGCTTAACACACTTTTCCATACATTCACAAACGCCATCACAAGCGCTTTTAAATACTGAACTTTAAAACCCTTTATCATCTACATGAAAAGAGATGATTGAAGAAGAGATAAAGCAACAACAATAAAGATGAGAAATGTGTATCAGAATTTATCACTATGATGATAATACTTTGTGAATCATGATTTGTGCTTTAAATTGTTTTTTCTCTCTATTTAAAAGTAATAAACTTTCATAGATATTACTTTTATTACTTTCAAAAAGAGAACATGTAGGAAGAAAGAACCATATTATTTTGTGATTTGTTGGAATATTTTGTAAATTTTTCAAATTTAGCGGAACATCAGTTTCCACTAAGATTAGATGTTTCAAAAATGTCACTAAGCAGTGGCGTATTTTTTCATAAAAACCCTAGCAAAATTAAGAAATTTCTGTTAACCTAGCGGGATTGTTCCCCTAAATCTCCCCTTAATTTTTTTGTTTAATTTATGCTACGAAAGAAAAATTTACCCTGAATTCCCTTTTTTTAAAGAGTAAATGTGTTTATTAGTTTTGACTAAGCTTAAAAGACTCACATCAGTATGAAACGAAATTCTCCCTTTGCGACCTACCAATTAGAATAAAACTTCATAAATTTCTTCTTGTTGGCATTTAAAATTAAATCACAACCAATCGCATTATGCAAGAGTCTCGAAAAAGGTCTCCTTCATACCACTTTTCCTCTCTTTTTCTTGTACATGAATTTTTTATATTATTTTTCTTTAAAGATTATTCCAAAAATATTACGTTCACGTATTGAATCCTCCAAAAAATTGTGAGAAATGAAAAGTTTTTTTTTTAAAAGTTCATTATTTCACCATCCTTCGTGCTTCTCAATTATTTTTCATTGACATGTTAACCACATATTGAATTTTTTTTTACTACTTTTGTTTGATTTTTAGCGCATTTTTGAAACTTGTTTCGAAAAGGTAGCTTAATAATTCACTTTGTTCGGCTGCTCGGCTGTGTCTGAAATCTCATTAACCAGACATCGTTGAGAGTTCTAGTTTGTTTTATTAGCTCAGTTACATAATGTTATTGACTTATCGATTATTTTCGAACAGTAAAACAATGGATAAATACTATAATTAATGATTTTTCTATTTCATATGAAAAAACAAGTGATGAGATCGTTTAGAAAATCGAATTTATTTCTACCGTTTTTGTACGATAATTGAGTATATCCAATTGATAATTATACCATAGTTAATAATTTTTTAAAGCAACTTTTGGTAAAAAATTATCAAATATTCAGTGGACGTTATAAAATTTGATTTTTTTTTGTTTTAAAGTTCATTTATTTATATCAAACTTAAAGTTGTGTTATAAATTTATACAAATTAATTATTGCAGAGAGAGAAGAAAAAAAATTACTTCATATTGAATTTAATTTAATTAGCGTCAAAATACAATTCCAAATAGTGCTCTCTTAAACGATTTTTAATAATGTTCAATGAATGAAAAGCCTTTATCTGCTGTGGAAGATTATTGAAATCCGCAAATGCTCTAATGTAAAAATTCTGCGCTCCTTGACTTGGACGACACATTCTTATTGTGAAATTTCATCGATTTCTTGTCGAATTATTATGAATATCGCTACCTAATTGTATATCGACATTATTTTTAATTAAATTTGATGCAAATTTAAATAATTGAAGAGAGCAATTTGTTTTACACATTACAGAGACTGGCAAAAGTCTAATGCTATACATTTATTTTAGAAAATCGTTGAATGATCTCCTTAAACTTATGATTTAATTCACACAAGAAGACAAATAATTATTCGATAAGTTAATATTACAATTCCTTAAATCTCTGTATTAAATTCAATTAATTTTTCGACTAAACAAACACAAACCTTATAAATTTAAAAATTTAAAAATACCGTTAAATTATAAAGTAATTTCTTTGTGAGGTCTTTAAAGTTTATTTTAAACGCTGTAACTCACAATTCCTGTCCTCGATATGAGGAATAAAGTTTCCAAATAATTACAATGTAATACAGCCATGACGCTGCTCTGGCTTATTTAGAATGAATAAAGCAATAATAATAATAATGACAAAACCTTTTTAAGTGAATAAATGTTGTGCTGTATTTTACTAATGAATCCATGTTAATTAGCCAATCAAATACTGATCGCTGCGTCAAATATAAAAAAAACACTAGGACTTTTGTAATTTTTTTTTGTCTTTTTTATTTCATTTTCCATCTGTTTATCTTACAATTGTCGTACAATTTTAACGAAAATTTCGTTTGTTTTTATTACAAGACAATCCACTCTTCCGTGGCAAATTTATGTTGTTTTTCTTTTGAAAAGTGTCAATTTGAAAATTTTTGCCATATTCTTTACTTTTTGTCTAGCGTTTTTCTCTTTGTTGAGTGGATAAAACTCGGTTAAAATTATAATAACCGCAATTATGTAATGTGCATTTCAATGAGAATTCGAAAGAAGACTTTCGACTTCACTTTAACGAGCTACAAAGTTAATAACTGTAAAATTTTATTCTTTTCATAGAATTGTAATGATAAAAATATATACGGCAAATGACACCATCAAAAAGAAGTATCAGCTAATATGAATAATCGTTTGCTTTTTTGATTTTTTCACTTTCTTCAACTCAGTTGCCAAATTAACAAAATTTCTGGATAAGAAGCAGTAACTTTCATGTCAAATGATGTGTCATGAATAAATTTTGTTTAATATTGCGAAATTTCTGTTACAGTTCAGCTTATTACATCCAATTAATTTTTAATAAAAAATTGTTTTACTATCCGTCAAGAAAAATTTCCATAGACATAGTTTAATCCACATGTTTGGTTATTTCTCACATTTTCAATCTTGAATTTCTTAATTAAACTAATACAAGTTGTAAGTTGTAACCGCAAATACGGACCATCAAACTTTTAAAAAAGTTAAGTTGAAAAAACTTCAAAAACTTAAGTGGCATTTTGCAGGTATTTTTTTAGAAAAAAAAAGAAAATTTTTATGAATTCGATTTCTTTGGTTTATTGAAACATATAAAATTATGGATGTAAAAGTTTGAAGTTATCGTACATTTAATTAAAATTTTAGAGCTCTTTTGGGGTTTTTGCTAATGGCAATTTAGTATGAATACTGTTTCTGCTTATTTTTACTTTATAGATTGGCTTTTATGAATCTATTCCATTTCACATTACGTTTTATTAATCTAGAGATTTAACGATAAAAAGTAAGTGAAAAAGTAAACACAGTAAATGTTCAGAAGTCGTGGTAGAAGCTAGAAAAATTTTGACAGTTTTTGAAAGCCTTTTATCATTTGTTTACCTTCAGTTATTGCGAAAACGATATGGAAGTAAAGGAATTAAGTTGAGGAAAAAGTAACTCGTAAATGTTTCCTATTATCATGGTGTGATGATTGAATGACAATTTTCATCATTGCAATGACAAAGTGTAATTAATTAATTAAATTAATTGCAATCTGAATTAAAATTTATTAGATCTTGAAAAAAGTTTACAAAACTAAATCACTTAAAGTTTTTTAAAAAAAATTGAAAGAGTTATAATTTTTAAAAACAAGAACTTGGACAAACGTCTTTAGATCATAAATAATATTACAAAGATGTTTTAAATAATAATTGAAATAATTGTCTCATAAGAAAACAACTTTTATGTGCACGCAATATTTGAAGAAGAAGTAAAAATAAACAAATAATAAAAGGGGAAAAAATTATCCTTGATATTTAGAAATATCAGGTATTAATAAATTTATAGGCTGATTGGTACTGAAACCGACTATTGCTTGGTTAAGTAAGCTGCTGTAAATGTTGATTAAAACTTTAACACAGCTAAATGGATATGGAAGTCTTGATGTTTGACCACTTGAATAAGCTGCTACAGCATTTGAAATTCCATTCAATGCCGAACCTATATAAGCCCCTAAAATATTTGGAACACAATTAAGCATTGTTGCCATTGAGTCCAAATACAAGCTATCAAAATTAATTCTAGCGAATTCGTTGAGTCCATCTGAAAAAAAAAATAATTATAATAACAATAAATGTCATATTCTTGATACACTTACAGTTGACATATGGACCCTTAGAACTAATTATAGAAACCATTACGCTGACATAGCTAGCAAGGCTTGAATAAGTTGCTTCACAAGAGCTTGTGTTAGCTAAATTCATTAAAAAATGCATTCAAAATTTGAATAGAAATAATTGAATTACGTTTTGATAGCAAACCTGTTGATTGAACGGCTAGTTGTTGCAGTTGAGAAATGAACGATTTTCTTAAGCCAGCAATTTTATTTTGCATGGAAATCAAATAATTTTCGACACAGTCTAAGGGTTTTTCAAATGGAGCATTAATGACTCCATTTAAAATATCATAAATTTTATCAGAATCTACTCCAGAAAAGAAATTGGTAGCATTTGCTGCAAAAATAATCATTATATTGAGTTCACAGCTGAATTCAACTTCAAATGATGGTATCAATACTGGATTTTTCACTGCATTACCTACATAAATATAAATTAATTGATTGATCAATTAAATAATCTGTATTGAAATTTAGAACTAACTTAATGCAAAGATAGTGAGATTGGTGATATAACTTGACCAAATACTTTGATATGTAATAAATTGACTTAGGAAAAATTCGCATCTAGGTGATGGATCTATCAGGCTATTGCTGAATTCAATAATATGATCGTTCATTTGATTTGCTGAAGAGTCGATAATTCCTTGAACACAACTGTATGGTGGTGGAAGTATCGATGTCTCATTTAATAAATATGCACGGATCACGTTTTCACTTCCATTTAACAAATCAACTGTTCTACCAATTAGTGAATTACGTTGACATGTAAAAATGTTATTAGTATATCCAATATAAAGATCTCTTAGTCCAATAATATTAAAAGCTGCTGCATCCACTTTAATAGAAGAAAATTATTTTTTTTCTGTGAATAATAAATCAGTGAAAATTGGGAAAAAAACTTACAAATATTGATTTCTTTTTTCATTGCTATTAAACTTTTTGCTGCTTGATAGTAATATGAAACATATTGTATGGTGGCATTACACGAACTGTTGGAATTGACTAAAAATAAAAGGTTTAAAAAAACCTCAACATATCTTTTTGAAAATTTCTTTTATAAACTTACTTGGAGATTCCTCAACTTGGGATTTAAATATTGGAATAATGTTTTCTTTGATATTTTGTGTAAAGAAATAATAAGACATTAATTCACTTTCAATGCAATCAAGTGGTGATTCAAATGGTGGATTAATTAATCCGATCAATATATCAAAGATATATTCAAAATTTAACCCTGTAAACTGACTCAATCTTGTAGCTAGAATGCTAGTTGTCACATTTAATTCACAGAAGTAAAATATTATTGAGCTGTTTGCCATCGCAGGATAAAAAGTAATTGTATCTGTAGTATGAAATTATGTTAAAAGTAAGTAATTTAGATTCATGGTATTTTGAATTCTCGATTTCGAAAAATTTCGAGATCCTGGAATTAATCGGAATGAGAAATCCCAAACTAATAATTTCATTTGATCTCGAGAGCGAGAATACAAAGTAAGATTAGTATCAAACACTATCGAAATAATACTTACAATTAGTATAGCCCAAAAATCTTTCAATTTTTTCCTCACTAGCTTGTAGTAATGTCAAAAATGCATTATTAAGTTGCCCGCAGTTTGATAATCCCCCACCAAATGAAGTTCCAGCCATACTCCATAACGTAATACACCACAAAATTTTCATCTTATTTAATAAATTGACCAAAAAAGTTTTTTCAAAATAATTTTTTAACCTGTTGGTTATTTAAAAACTTCTGTCAAACTTGAACGAATTTCACTTACTTATATACTAAAGTTTCATAATAATTAAGTCAGCCAAGGTAAAAAATGACACAAATTTTAATGAAGTCATGACTTCACTTCCAAAAATCATAAATTTATCGTAAAGATATCTATAGTTTGAAAAGCTAACAAAAATAATCGTTAAAATGTTCTCAAAATAAATGTATGAAAAACAAATTACAAATTTGACCATTTTCTTTTAAAAAAATGATATTAAAAGTTTAATTGGGTTAATTTTAAGCTTAAAATTGCTTGAAAGATGATTGACGAGATAAGCTACTCCTCGTTACTAAGCTACTAGTTTATAACGAAAAAACAGGGGAATATGTTTTTCTAAACAAGATCTGGCCTCAAACTAGCATCACATCAACGCTATAACGGATTACTGATTTTTGCGTTTGAAAGCAAACGTCGTAAAATTTTTAATTTCCTGGATTTACAATGGAGTATTGTTTTACAATCAGACCAAAAATATTTTAGTTTTTTTAAATTAAGTTTCAATATTTATTATTTTAAAGTCATTTTTTCCATGTATTAAAAAATTAAAATATAAAATAAGAATTCCATAAAGCATGATTTTCTCATTTTTAAGCATGCATTCTCAAATCAACCAGTTCACTTGTGCTAAAGCTAACTATAGCTTGATTTAGCAAACTGCTGAAGAAATTATTCAAAATTTTGACGTATGTGTATGGATATGGAAGTCTTGATGTTTTACCACTAACAAAATTTGTTAGAGCATTTACATCTGCGTTTAATGCTGAGCCTCCATAAGCTCCTAATATTCATCATAGCCATCGAGTTGAAATACAAATCATCAAAACCAATTGTTGTGAATGCCTTAAGACCATCTCCATGATAAAATGTGTTTATTTGAAAACAAAGTGATTAAAAAATTTATAAATTCTACTAACTGTTGACATATGGACCCTTAGAACCAATTAGGGATTTCAATACCGGACTAAAATTTCAATCCTGGGACTACGGCATTGGAAATTGTTGATCCAGGGATCCCGGGTTTAGATTCGGTTCAAAATCTGGTGTAAAATTGCGTTTAACACGTTCAAAATAAGAGCTTTCAATTACAAATTAGGTATATTTATAATTAAAAATTTTTGAATTGAAAACTAAGCCAGAAAGTTAAAGTTTTTCCAAATAGATCAATATTTCCTTCTTGTCTTGTCAGAACTTTTAAACTTTACTTTTTTTTTGTTTTGTTTTGTGTCAAGCTATTATGATTTTTCTTTTGTCAAAACTTATAAAACTTTTGCTATGGGTTCGTTCACTTATTACGTAACGCACTAGGGGGGGAGGGGGGGTCTAAGATTTTGTTACGGTTTGTTACAGGGGGAGGGGGGGGGGTCTAAATTTTGTTACGTAACTTTTCAAAAATTATATTTTCTTATAGAGTGAAATCATTAATGAAAATTACGAAGTAGATGAAAATTGGAAAATGAAACACATTAGATTGTCACAATACTTTTTGCAGATAGTTAAGTGCTCAAATGTATCCTGCTGTTCAGCACCGCGAAGCTCTTTTTTTAATTTCTTTCCGAACCGGTTTCTTCCACCTCCTGTATCTTTAAAATACGATCCTAAGATAACAATTGCTGATCCAAAAGACTCTAATGCCCGCTTTTCTACACTTTTTCAGTGCATTTCTTTTACTGAATCATCTAGCATTCCGTACGATAAATACTGTCCATCGATTGGAGACATTATAAAAGAAAGGGTATGCGTTGATTGTAATCATTACTGTGCTTCAATCGATATGTTAAAGAATCACCGAAAAATTATTCACAAACGTATAGTTAATACTAAGAAAAAACCAAGAAAAGTAATATGCAGACGTGAAAAAGAAGTATTAGTACAATTGCAGGAGGATTTGGATTGGGTAGAAGCTGAGAACTTGGATATTGAAGAGGAACGTGCAAATACTGATATTATTGTTGAATATCAAAATGTATTTGCAGTTGAAGATCATTTTCAACCAATTTGGGAAAACGACTAATGATTACAAAACTTATGAGTTTTTTTTTGCGTTTAGTTAATAATATGGATGTAAGCGATTAATATATTTTTTTATTGCTTTCCTTCTATTTACTTTTACATACTTAAAGGAAGTATAATAAACATTTGATAAACAATTTAAATGAAAAAAATTATTGTTACGTTATGGGGGGGGGGGGAGGGGGGGGTCTAAGATTTTGTTACGCTTTGTTACAGGGGGGGAGGGGGGGTCTAAAAACTCGTTTTTTTGCGTTACGTAATAAGTGAACGAGCCCTATATAAAAAATCAATAGCTTTAATTTTTAATTCAAATAATAGATTTTATCGCAGCTTTATTAGAAATGCATTCGAATGATTATAAAATTTTTAAAATTTTTGAAAAAGCAATGGGCATGCCACTGTATTTTTTTCAACACTTTGAAAAGAAAACTAAGTTAAAAAGAAATCCTAAATTATTTGGCAAAAACATGCTGATTATTATTATTTTACACTTTAATATTAACAAGATTTTTGAGAAATTCTAAGAATATCTTGATCCCGTAATCCCGAAATTGAAGCTTTTCTAATCCGGGATTGCGGTATTGGAAAATCAGGAATTTAACATGATTTTTTTTCCATCTTATTAACTCTTTTTCTTACTATTTTCCGGAGAATTCGGCTGAACAAAGTATTTTTGAGTTTACAGCTAAGGGGACAAACAATAAAATTAAAGTTTCTTTAGCCATGAGTTTTGTTATTTTAACAACTGCTCACTGACTACTGCTGAATTGTAATTGTGATTATGAATTTATAGATTGTTGAATCTTTATCTAATCTATAATGTTATTAAGTGCTGGTTCAAGTAGTTTTCAAGTGCATCTTCTTGGTCATATATTAAACGATTATTTTAAACTAAAGTGGGCTTCTGAAATTTTTTAAGTCATGCTTGCTGCTTTAATCAAGATATTCGTATAAAAATTAAATTGAATTTTTGTGGCAAATCTATTCAATAATCGGTCTTAAAATTTATTTAAAGTTGTTGATTATTATTTTATCATAAGCAATTTGATTGATATTTATTTAATAATTGCTGCATTTGTTTTATGTTTTATCAAAGCGACAAAATCTCCACTTAAAAACGATTGAACAATTAAACGTTATTGTTGTTAAAAATCAATCATTATAAGGCTACTATTGATCATAAGTGGCTTAAAAAATCAAAGTTATTGATAAGATGTTAATAAAAAAAGCTTTCAATCATCGCAATCATGAAATGAATTCTTATGACTATTAATATGTAGGTTTGTGTTTGATGAAAATTATGAAAATGTAAACAATTAGGTAAGTACTTGAATTATTAATGATTTTTATTTTAAAAATTCTGCACGACTGGATTTTTGAATATCTCCTTCAATTAATTAAAAATTGTGGAAAACAAATTATTCATTGCTTTGTTTATACGCTTAAACAATTGAGAAACCGTTATTCTTTCACGAGAAGCAGGACAATATTTGTTATTAAGCCTTGCAATATCCTTATCACTCATACGAAGACGTTGTCCCATTGTCTCTCCTTGTAAATCTCTTGTTGGGACAATCGTATCCTCACCATTAATCGAAAATGCCGTTGCTGAATAGTGCATGACAGAGCCATAATCATATTCAACTCCGTATTGACTTATTCTGTCTGCTTCGTATTTATTGAAGTTGCCTTCTGTTCCAGATTGAATATTTTCCCAAATAATTCTTACATAATGATCACGTTCCGTTGCACTTTGCATGTGATAGAATCCGAGAGCATGAATAAATTCGTGTACAATTGTATAAAGACGGAAACAACCGACTTCAGGATCAAATGGTTGTAAATTCAATTGCTGTCGATTTCCACGCATACCGACAAATGACCAACATCCGCTGTTTTCACCCTGTTAAAAAAACATATTACTAATGTAAAATTGGCAAATTTTAAACCAAGTTTATACATACAGTAATGTAGACGTAGTTTGTGTGAACATTTACATCATAAGGAACTAACTTGATACAAGTAGCATCCATTATTTTTTGCACGCCGAGAGTAATGTAATTGTATTGTACAGTAGCTGTACAACATTTAATTAATATTTTAGTGCAGTTTAAAAATTGATTAAATATTCTTACTGAAGTGACTTCTGTTGACATAATAAGGTACAATGTTGTCGGTCCATCTAAACCTTTCATCAATTAATCCAGTTCTTCCACCTCGTTCACTAAGAAGTTCATCAATTTCTTCGGGTGACAACACCATGTCACCTTCAAATTGTCCACTAAGCTCTTCTGCCAAGTCATTCGCACCAAGATTATTTAAGCGATTGACTACGAAAAAATAAATTTTAATTTTATTTTTGGTTTCTAATTTAAAAATTTTTGCTTACTATTCTCAGGAGAATTCGGTTGTGGGAATGAATATACACAGCTTATTGCCACAAAAGCAGCACATATAATTAAAGACTTTTTCACCATACTGTCTTTTATTTTAACAAGTGCTTACAGAATGCTTGTCGCTAACAAATGGGACCACAAATTTATAGACTTTTGGTACATATTCTTAATCTAATCTTGGTAATTTGTTAGGTGAGATAAGAGTTGAGACTTCTCAATTTCATTGACATTTTTATCAAAATTAAAGCTGCACTTAATGGTTTTGATATTTTCAACAATCTAATACCTGTTATTTCTCATACAAAAGATGAATTATAAAATATTTTTGGAGCCAAAATCTAATGTTCTCATCTGATTTACAAAATCAATTTTAGTTTGATCGTTGATATTTTTGATCTGTTATCAATTAATGGACAGTATTCTGCAATAAGTCTCGCCATATCCATATCACCTAATCTCATTCGCTTTCCCATAAATTCATCTCCTACATTTCTAATGAAATTATTGTGTCTTGATCATTTGATGTTAAAGCTGTTTTTGGAAAGTTCATGACAGATCCGTAATCATATCCCACTTCATATTGACTAATGACATCCGAATTGTACTTCTCAAAATTGTAAGCCATTTCGGGTTTATTATATTTTTTAAGGCAATTCAATTCTAAAGCATGAATTAATTAATTATCTATTGTGTAAAGGGAGAATCTGACTACTTCAAATTCTGCTATCGTCACCCTTTTAAATCAGATTTGCAGATTATTTGTGGCTACAAAGATTTCTCAAACAATATTTCAAATATTGCAACAAAAGCAATCAGCATAATTAAAAACCTTTTAACGATTTTAAAATGATTTCGGTTCCCTTTTACAAGCAACTATTAAATTACGACTTAATTTCGCTATTTATATATTTAATTCATAAAAATCGGCCTGTTTCAGTAAGGTGGATTTTCCACCGATCGGATTATCCAATTTTTCAATCAGAGGATAATCCAAAATTTTTTGACGATGGATTTCACAAAAAAAGATTATCCTTGTAGGTGGATTATCCGAAGATTATCCTGAGATTATCCTAGAATTTTCCAAAAAATTAATGTAAATTAATTCAACACCAGAAAAAAAATTATTTGGTCCGCACATCGAAGAAATAGATGATCCTAAAATGGAATAATCCACCTTAGTGAAACAGGCCGAATCTTATCAAAAATGATTTTCCTCAATTCCTTTAAAAAGTTTTATTCGATAAAATGACCTGCAAATCATTGAAAAAGAAAATCTTGATCAATAAAATGTTTAAAGAAACTGTAAGTACAGGAATAAGAAGTATGAACTAGATTTTAAATCATATTGACACTGTATAATCCATGAACGATAATCAAGACATTCAATTATCATCAATCAAAATTTAATAATTGGTTACTTTAGTATAATGCACTGACGTAATGTTAAAATAAAGATCCTAAATACAAAAGTCAATAATTACCATAGATTGAATTGCAGTTACAAATTCATGTAAATCTCAAACAAAATTGATCAACAGAAATCAATTCGAGTAGTTATGGATTCAATGACTCAGAGGCTGCGACGAATAATTTAGTAAGTAATTTTTATTTTAAGTGGATTATTTCCTCATTAGTGTGTATGTAAAATTTATCGTTATGAACTGTTTTAATTCCTGCACACGCTTCCAACTCACAATAAAACTCTTCTATTTCCTGTAACTTGATTTACAGTATGACAAGATAAAGCTTGGATAAAGCTCCAAACGAAAAAAGAAAAATAAACTTTTTCTTGTTGCTCTTAAGAGCAATTTAATTTATTTATTCGACTTTAAAAATCTCATGCTATGTAATATAGGAGTCGAAAAAGTGATTATTTACTCACTCGTTAAACCTTCATTTCTCTTGTAGGTTCTTATGATTCAGGGAAATCAAACAAACAGTAGTTTTTTTAAACAAATCATCAGAGAATATTTAGAAAAAAGAGAATTTGCAGCTTAATAAAATATAAAAATGTCAAGTGGAAACAACCTTCAGATTTTATTGCATTTAAAGAACATAAAAAGGACAATAATCATGTAGGAAGGTACCTGTTCACAGTTCAATATCAAGTAAGTGTTTCCTAGAAGAACAAATCATGCACAGAAATTTCACACATTAGGAGTGCGAAGACATTCAAACAAGAACAAATACAATCTGTCCAAGGCCATCAAGGAACTATTAATCACGAAAAGCAAATTTTCCTCCCTTATTCTGAGAATGTTGATCGTTTGATTTCTGTGTAAGTTTGTTTTTTATATTCACACCGTTTTCACGTGTGAATCTATTGGTTTTGTTCAGATTGAAAAATCAGTTTTTTGAATTTTGTGAGGATAAGGAGCAAGACAACTTAAAATGTTCAGAGATGAAAAGTTTGTGCCTTGAATTTCACATCTTTGGCAAAAACGGATTTCAAATTGGTTGCGGCATTGCTGAGAAAATCGCAAAATATGCTTTCTGTAAGCAAGCAAACAAGCAAGTTAATAAGCAAGAAGTCTCAACAACGAGACATTGTAGAGACTTCTAGTTTTTTATATTTGATTCGTGCTGCTCTATAGAAGAGCTGTATTGTTTTTAAGGCAAGGTAGGAACAGCCGTTGCTTCAAAAAAAGCAAAAAACTTTCTTTCTTACGAATTTTTCAAATTAAAAGTTCACTGTGATTTTTTTTTAAATTAAACTTTGCATAAATATTCTAATGCTTAAAACAAAAACAAAAAAAAACATCTTAAAATTTTTTTGAGCAAAGAACCAAGAAGGAAATACATTTTCAATTTTGGACTAGGGGCGACCCTAGTCAAAATCAATTTTGTCACTTTTTTTTCGAGGGTTTATCCAAATGGATTGAAAGTTTGCACAAATATTCAAGAGCTTAAAACAAATACAAATAAAATATCCTAAAATTTTTTTGAGCAAAGAACCAAGTAGGAAATACATTTTCAATTTTGGACTAGGGGAGATCCTAGTCAAAATCAATTTTGTCACTTTTTTCTTCGAGGGTTTATCCAAATGGATTGAAACTTTGCATAAATATTCTAATGCTTAAAGCAAAAACAAATAAAACATCTTAAAATTTTTTTGAGCAAAGAACCAAGTAGGAAACACATTTTCAATTTTGGACTAAGGGCGACCCTTGTCAAAATCAATTTTTTCCCTTTTTTCTTCGAGGGTTTATACAAATGGATTGAAACTTTGAAAACATATTCTAGTGTTAAAAAAAATACAAATAAAACATCTTAAAATTTTTTTGAGCAAAGAACCAAGTAGGATATACATTTTAAATTTTGGACCAGGGGTGACCCTAGTCAAAATCAATTTTGTCACTTTTTTCTTCGAGGGTTTATCCAAATGGATTGAAACTTTGCATAAATATTCTAGTGCTCAAAACAAAAACAAATACATTTTCAATTTTGGACTAGGGGCGACCCTAGTCAAAATCAATTTTGTCACTTTTTTCTTCGAGGGTTTATCCAAATGGATTGAAACTTTGCATAAATATTCTGGTGCTTAAAACAAATACAAATAAAACATCCTTAAAAATTTTTTTTGAGCAAAGAACCAAGAATGAAATACATTTTCAATTTTGGACTTTTTTCTTCGAGGGTTTATCCAAATGGATTGAAACTTTGCATAAATATTCAAGTGCTAAAAACAAATACAAATAAAACATTCCAAATTTTTTTTTGAGCGAAGAACCAAGAAGGAAATACATTTTAAATTTTTAACTAGGAGCGACCCTAGTCAAAATCAATTTTGTCACTTTTTTCTTCGAGGGTTTATCCAAATGGATTGAAACTTTGCATAAATATTCTAGTGCTTAAAACAAATATAAATAAAACATTCTAAAATTTTTTTGAGCAAAGAACCAAGAAGGAAATACATTTTCAATTTTGGACTAGGGGCGACCCTAGTCAAAATCAATTTTTTTCACTTTTTTCTTCGAGGGTTTTTCCAAATGGATTGAAACTTTGCATAAATATTCACGTGCTTAAAACAAATACAAATAAAACATCCTAAAATTTTTTTGAGCAAAGAACCAAGAAGGAAATACATTTTCAATTTTGGACTAGGGGCGACCCTAGTCAATATCAAATTTGTCACTTTTTTCTTCGAGAGTTTATCCAAATGGAATGAAACTTTGCATAAATATTCTAGTGCTTAAAACAAATACAAATAAAACATCCTTAAAAAATTTTTTTGAGCAAAGAACCAAGAATGAAATACATTTTCAATTATGAACTTGGGACAGGTCTAGTCAAAATCTAGTTTTTCATTTTTTTTTCGAAGGTTTATCCAAATGGATTGAAACTTTGCATAAATATTTTTGTGCTTAAAGCAAATACAAATAAAACATCCTAAAATTTTTTTGAGCAAAGAATCAAGTAGGAAATACATTTTCAATTATGAACTAGGGGCGACCCTAGTCTAAATCAATTTTCTCACTTTTTTCTTCGAAGGTTTATCCAAATGGATTGAAACTTTGCACAAATATTCTAATGCTTAAAACAAAAACAAATAAACCATCCTACAATTTTTTTGAGCAAAGAACCAAGTAGGAAATACATTTTCAATTATGAACTTGGGACAGGTCTAGTCAAAATATAGTTTTTCACTTTTTTTCTTCGAAGGTTTATCCAATTACAGTGAAACTTTGTGTGAGTATACTAATATTTATACAAAACAGTTTTAAACATCTAAAGCAAGAAATGTATTCTATATATCGTCAGACCCAAATTTTATAAATTTGGTTGTACATTCAAAAACAACGTGACTTAAAATTTTGTACAAAAAAATGATTTTTATTAATTCAGAAATGTTCGACCTGCCGATTGGAATGCTTATTCCAAGTTTTACTTTATTTAGATTTATCCTCGAAGAAAAAAAAGTGAAAAACTAGATTTTGACTAGACTTGTCCCATATTCATAATTGAAAATGTATTTCCTACTTCGTTCTTTGCTTAAAAAAATTTTGGGATGTTTTATTTGTATTTGTTTTATGCACTAGAATATTTATGCAAAGTTTCAATCCATTTGGATAAACCCCCGAAGAAAAGTGACAAAATTGATTTTGACTAGGGTCGCCCCTAGTCCAAAATTGAAAATGTATTTCCTACTTGGTTCTTTGCTCAAAAAAAATTTTTGGATGTTTTATTTGTTTTTGTTTTAAGCACTAGAATATTTATGCAAAGTTTTAATCCATTTGGATAAACCCTCGAAGAAAAAAGTGACAAAATTGATTTTGACTAGGGTCGCCCCTAGTCTAAAATTGAAAATGTTTTTCCTTCTTGGTTCTTTGCTCAAAACAATTTTTGGATGTTTTTTTTTTTTTGTATTTGTTTTAAGCATTAAAATATTTATGCAAAGTTTCAATCCATTTGGATAAACCCTCAAAGAAAAAAGTGACAAAATTGATTTTGACTAGGGTCGCCCCTAGTCTAAAATTGAAAATGTTTTTCCTTCTTGGTTCTTTGCTCAAAACAATTTTTGGATGTTTTTTTTTTTTGTATTTGTTTTAAGCATTAAAATATTTATGCAAAGTTTCAATCCATTTGGATAAACCCTCGAAGAAAAAAGTGACAAAATTGATTTTGACAAGGGTCGCCCCTAGTCCAAAATTGAAAATGTATTTCCTACTTGGTTCTTTGGTCAAAAAATTTTTTTGGATGTTTTATTTGAATTGACATAATTCTGACATAAATCACATACCAATATTACTTTTTGTACTGCATAGCTTAAAAAAATCGAAATCTAAAATTTCGACTACCCCATCTGAATTTTGTTCATACTCTTCACTGTGGAATCCAAAAAACAAATTCTTTATCTTAAAACACTTGACAAAATAGCGACATAATTCAGGATTAATTTCTTTTTAATAATATTTTAACATTTATGAGAAAATGTGGTTTAAATACGTGTGAAATATGGCCGAGATTTGGACCAAAATCAGCCTATACTGGTTCATAGTGTTCCCGAGGGTGACAAAATTCAAACTAAGTGTTTTTGTAGCTGACATAATTATAACATAAATTAAGTATAACTTTTGAACTGTGTCGATATGGGTCTCGGCCGTACTTCACGCCCACCCTTCAAACGTATGCTGAGCAAATCTTGGTCTATCCATAAGACTTTTGATGGTATGGTGAAATGAATGAAAATGATTTCATGTCACTCGATGAATACTTATAAAAACCCTAAAAACCATAATATTGGTTTTTTTGTGTGCAGATAAAAATAAAAACAAATGTTAATACAAGCTGTGAGAATCAAAAATATCATTAATATATTTATACAAGATATATACTTCCAACATGTCATAACACTAGACATTTATGAAAATTTCCTTCACAGATACTTGCATAACACGTGCAAAGGTTATAAAACTTTCCGATCACTTCAATTTGCTCAAAAAATACCTAACCCTTGAGATTTACGGACGAAGCAAAATAAAAAAAAGAGAGACCAAAGTAAAACAAGAAAAAATCGGATGATTCATATTCAATTCGTATAATGAATGGCATGGATAATAATAAAAATAATAATATTAATAATAATAATGAAAAACAATAACGCTATTAAGTAAACACAAAATAGCTCAAAGCTATGCGTAGCCTGCCGTAGCTTGACGTACACAATATATTGGAAAAAATATTATAATTCTTATGTGCTTTTCACGAAAGCAAAAATATACGTTTGTAAGGCACACAAAGTAAAGTTTAAGTAATCGGATATCCTGAAAAAAAAATAATGAAGAAATATTAATTTCTTGTATGAAATTCAGAAAGAAAATTGCTTGGCAGTTCTGACTACGGAGATTTTAAAAATGAAATTTTAATTGCTTAGCGCCTAGTCATGAAAAAGGTTAAAGACGTAACAACAGAGATAAAGACTCATTGTCAACGGAGCTTATCAGATGTCTAAAACATTTTGACTAAATTAAGAAGCAAGTAAAAAAGTTTCAAATCGCTTTGTTTACTTAGGATTGATCAAATATGAAAGAATGTGAATGTTTAAGTAAATGAGAAAAGAAAACTTTTTTTTGATACATCAATAAACTGGATCAATTTTAAGGCAGAAAACGCTTTAGGATTGTATCCTTAAAAATTTTGTCCCTTTTTTTTGTCTGTTTTTATTGTTTGAATTGTTAATATTTAAATAAAACTGTATAAATAAATACTTAAGAAGCTAGGCCGTTGAAAATGTTATAATGACAAGTACTTTCGTAATTTATAGATGGTTTCGATAGTGAAGTTTAACAAGATCAAACCTCACAAGGGAGAAAACATGTTTTCAAAGGGCGCTCTTTCAATTGCATTAAATTTTGTGAAATTTTGAAGGAAATGATTTTCTATGACAAAAAGAGTTAATAATTGATTCAATATAAAAAGTCGTTATTTAAGGTTTAAAGAGAGAGGACGTTTGTATAATTTATGGGGAAAATGTTTTGTAAATATCTTCATGAGTTGTGCACGTGCTTTATCTGAATTCTATTGAAAGTCTGTTTCAATTATTCTAACATTGAAAAAAATACATAAATTTTTATCAAATTTACTTGATAAATGATTTAAGCAACGTAATAAAAGACATTGTTCTACTTAGCATTATTGAATAAGTATCCAATGATGCTTCGAAAAATCCAGTAGTAAATCTCAACCTCTTCTGAGCAATCATCAAAATAAAAACGTAATTCTTATTAATCACATAAGCTTCATCACAAACTGATAGAGATGAATCCAAGATTTTTTGGCTTCCATATGAATAAATTGCAACATCAACTAATCCAGTACAGGCATGAAAAATTGATCGTAAAATCAATCCAAAATCATCAACAACAATGACTTGTAAACCTGTTACAATAGTCAGAGTTCCAATCACAAAATATTCTGTAAATATTATTGGAACGTAAAGTGAATTTAGTCTTTTAGTTATGCTGATTATCTGAAGATGATAACGCACAAAGTCCTCTAACTTCATTTCATTGATTGCTCCTTTAAGAATCTCAAAGTGTGCAGAAATATGGAGACAGTAGCAGCTAAAAGTTGATCCCATCGCCGCCTAGAAGAATAATAGGCTTTTAATTTTAATTTAACAACAATTCAGACTAAGAAGACTTTAGGAGCTTACAACAAAAATACCAAGAAAAACTGTTTCGCATATTTGAATAAAATATGTCAATTCATATCCTGGTGACTTTGCTGGATCATAGAAATATGCGGCCATAAAAGGAAGCTCAAAAGAATATTCAATGCCAAAGAAATAATTACTAATAATATCGTTGAGAAATGGTTTCATGATGTAAACTATTGCGGTAAATAGGCAGCCATATCCTAATGGTAATGAAATTCGGTTTGAAATGTTTTGAGCTTTAGATAATAATTTCTTGGCATTTGGTAGTTCAATGTCTGTAAAATTTAAAGCTCATTAATTTGTTAATCATATATTTTATGACATATAAATTCTTACATTCCTCATTAAGTTTGTTTATTTCGTCCATGATATCAAAAAACTCGTCAGTTTTCAGAGAAAAAATAATATATTTCACAATAGTGATTAATGCTGTGGTTGGTGGTGCCATACTTTCGGCGATGCTTAAAATATCTTTAGAAGTAAATAAGAACAAAACTGACGAAAAAATGCAGTAAAAAGTTACAGTAACATTCCATCCTCTTATAAATTCAAAGATATATTTTGTGCGTTTTGAAGGGAATCTTTTAATACCACAATACTTTATTAATTTTAATTGAAATTTAAAAACATCCATTTTACAACTTTTATCACTGAGGTATTAAGCGACACTAAGTCACTTAACAATCGATTCAAAACTTTTAAATACGAAAATAATTGACATTAAAAATTGTTAAATGTCTTTTAAATTTTAGGACTAAAAGAACGAAAAAATACAAAGGTGTTAAAGTGACATAAATTATAATTTTCACAGCGCTTATTACACATCCCATTAAGTTAATTACCGAAATGACATTTAAAACGGTTAAACTGATTGAATATTATTAATATATTAAAGATGAAACACACGATTTTTTATTGTGGAAATCTTAAGGTAAAAGTTCAAAAAATTTTCTATATTTGAATACCAATCCTATTGGCAATAGGATTGTTTTTTAATTGTGTCACAAACTTTATTCAAATTTTCTTGATTTAAAATCACAATTGATTCGTTATTATATCTAATAACATTGACACAAAATATGACTACTTAATAAATGACTTTAATAACGTAATGAATGACAATATGCGGCTCAACATGATGCAAAATGTGTCCAATGTTGCTTCAAACAAATAATATGTCATTTGCAAATGGTAAATCTTTATCTATTGATTTTTAATATATTTGTAAATATAATTTTGTATCAATTCATTTAAATTGCTAGTAACTTACATTCATTTTTAATCATGTTTATTTCGTTCATTATAATATATAACTCTTCCGTTTTGAAGCAAAAAATAAAATATTTTGAAATAGTAATTATCGCAGTAGTGGTTGGTCCCATACTTTCTGCAATGCTCACAATATCATTAGAATTAAAAGCAAACAAAATTGATGCTAAAATGCAATAAACAATAACAAAAATATTCCAAATTTTAAGGACATGGTAAAAGTATTTCATCCAAAATGATGGATGTTTTTCGATTCCACAGTATTTAATTAATTTGGACTGAAATTCTAAAATGTCAACTTCCATTTTTACCGTTTCCTTATAGATCTAAAATGAAACTAAACTATCATTTGATTGGTCTTAATGTTTTTAAAGAAAAACTCATAAATAAGACCTTTACCTTAAATTATGTAAATTTTACAATCAACTGAATACACATTCTACGATCTTCATATAAAGTTTGAAGTTCTATTATCTACTGTATGTTACCTTTACAATTAAAATTGTTTTTTTTTTCAGTTTTTAAATAAGTATAATTAAAAAGTATGACAGGCTCATAAAATCTAATGTGCAACAAATAATTTACCTTTATTTTTTGTGTATTCCATAAAAAAGTGAAATGTATGTTTTAACATTTCTTATGGATAGATCGAAATTAAGTGTATTGATTTCATAAAAATTCTCTTTTTAATAATAGAATTCATGAATATTTTATCAAAGGATAGTCTCAAAAAATGAAGTGAAGCGTATGTGAAATTAAAGACAACATTTATTACCAAAAAGAAATTAAATATGAACAAATCACAGAATTATAATTTTATTAAGGATTTACCTTAAAAATTTTTGCTCTTTTTCACACTCTGTAAATGTTTTAAAATTCCATAAAAAAGAACATCAACGTATGAACGAGATTAAGGAAGTTCTCATTTACATTAAAGATAATAGCCCTTAACACACCCATTGTGATATTTTTTATATTATCATGTATATATATCAAATTACTAAGCATTTGTCGAATAAATTTTGTTTTCATTCTTCTATTTCTAGGTTTGAACAAATATTCCTATATCATTCACAAAACTTCATATCTTCATTCATGCATGTTTATTAATTTTTATCGAAAGCGAATTAATCATGGATAATATCACGACATCATTATTATTTGAGGCGCTAAACTTCACCACTTCAGAATGGCCATTAGATATTGTAATGAACAGTAGTATTAATCAAGAAAGAGATTCTATGTCACTGATACTAGAGCCTTTGGCATTGATATCGAAACATGGTAAAATACATCATCATAGTACACATCCTGTAACGTTATCAACTGAATGGTCGCGACTTGCTAGACTTATATTCCTTACACTACTGTCGGTTATTGGCAGTGTAGGCAATATTTTTATGATATCAGCGGTCATGGTTGAGGATCATTTAAAAAAAGCAGGTAATACGCTCAGTTTTTTTATTATTTTCCTTTCATTCTTAGTCATTAACCGTATGTTTTTTTTCTTTAACTAATGAGTTTATGGACTTCCGTTATTTTTTTTTCTACTCGTAATTTCCTTTCTTTTCATATTCCACGGTTTTAAAGGTCGTCCTTCTTCTTGTTTTGAATTTTCCTTCTTAGTCGCTTTTCAATTTATGTTTCGTAAACGTAACTATGTCAAAACATACATAGAAACATACGAAAAATTAATGAATGAATGAAAATACAAACTTTGGACATTTAAAATTCTCGACAGCTCTTTATTTTATCTATTTGCTCTAATTATGAATGTTTCTAACATTTCTTCCATAAGTTTTCTTCATTTACTGTTTGAATAAAATATGATTGTGAGAACGTCTGTCAAAATTAATGTGAGAACTTGATATTTTCAGTTTGAAAGTGTTTTAAACAAGTTTTTTTTAAAAAGAGCTTTAAAAATCTCATGACAACTTCTAAGTTAAATAATTTTTTTATCATCAGAAAACCAAAAAAATCATTTAAATTTTTGAAATTGATTCATTTTGACTTTTAAAATTTTAATAAACATTCAATCCTCCGATCTCGCATAGTATTCGTCTATCCATATCAACCACAAAGTTCTTTGCTTTTTTGCTCAAAAAACCTCACACATGCGTCAATTACATAAAAACAAATGCCAATTTAAAGTTCTTAATTCGAATTGGGTGTTTATTTGCTAACATATTTTTATTCGTAGGAAAATCCATTAGCTCATTGAACTTACTGCTTTAGTTTTAGCCTATCTCGTTCGTTTTTTGATATTTTCTTTTGACAAATTTGTTAATATCATTTCACTCATCTCATTCTGGTGGCTTTAAGGATAAGCAAAGTAAAGAAAAATCAATTTTTGCATGTCATGACTTATGATGACTTGAAAAATGTAAAATGATTCAAAAAGTGGAAAAGGCACGAAATAAGTAATTACGAATGAGGAAATAGAGATTTATAATTGAATGAATGTTAAAATTAATAACTGTTACAAACATGAGAAAATAAAGCAGGAGAAAGATAATAATTTCTTTTTATAAATCAATATATTGCCACTTTCAATAGATTCAATATTATATTATTTTCACTAAAAGTTAATTAAAAAAAAAATCCAAAAATGTTCAGTTATCACCGTGTTTGAATTCTTTGAATTGACAACGCGAACGTAATGTTAAAAATTTAAGAAGCAGATATTCGAACATTAGTTTTAATAGACGATTAATTTGATGTAATTGGATATGGACGATGATATGATATTATGATAAATATGATAAAAAATTGATATCATAATTTTATGAATCTATTTTTATGAAATTACATAAATATTCTCACAATTAAGTAATGTTTCAGTATCACTCGCAGACTATTATTATCATATTTATCACCCATATGACAGAACTATTTACCATTTTAGAGGATAAATGATGTTTGCTATGGATATGAATCGGAGAATACAAACTTAAAAATAAAAAGTTTGAGTTTATTTCAAAGGTTTCAACCGAATTAGAAATTTTTAAATCGCGATATCAGGATTTTTTTTAAACTGTAAAAACGGTGTGAAATTTTGTAGTAAATTCAACCAAATCAGAAAATGAAATTTAACCATACACAAACTCAAGCATTTTTTTAAATTTTATTTTCGTATTTTTTATTTTTTATTTTTAATTTCATTTACAAGTTCTTTAAAGCACATTTAATGATTTTTTAAAACAATGTCGATGAATCAGTAATTTTAAATTCTGCATCATTATTATCTTTAAAAATTAAATAATTTGATTAATTAGAAATAAGTTACGAAAATAAGGTTCTACAATTTTTTTGTTACTGTTTTCAACGTAGACTTAAAGATTCTTGTGAAATACACCAAAAAAATGTTTGTTTCTTCTATTTCCACAAGAAATTAAAATATAAGATATTATTTTTCGCAATAACTCTACTCATCAATAATATCATGAAACCACTTAAAATTGCACAAAATCGCACAAATTGAATCAAATCCTTGATGCATTTAGCGTCATTTATTAAAATAATTTGTAATTGAACTTTATTGTTTTAAAATTGCTGCCTCATTTGCAAGTTAAATGTGGTTTATATGACATTTTGAATATTAATTTTAGAGAAATGTATGAGTAATTAGTAAAATTAAATTATGTTATCAAAGAAATCTACTTTTGCATTTAATTAGATCCATTAAAATCCCATTTAAAAAAATTTATTAAAACAAAAATTACTCATTATTATTCAATATAATTTAAATTGATTTAATTCTCAGGCAATAGTCTCGTAGTAAATATTGGACTAACAGATCTAATAGTAACCATCGTAGTTATTCCCATTTCAATCGTCAGTTTACTTGCAATGAATAAAGACGAAGAAGAAACTCCATTATCAGTTTGCAAATTTCAATGGTTTTTAGCTGCTTGTGCATTTTTGGTTAGCGTATTAACTTTGGCTGTAAGTAGAATAAAAGTAAAAAAATTCATATAAAAATGATGAAACGAAAGAAAATCACATCAGATTTTTTATTCCATTTTTAATTTTCCATTTTGCAAAATTCACGCGTAAAATTATAGTTAAGAAAATGTTTTTTTTTTATGTGAATGGGGATACCTAATTGGATAAAAACTTTTCCTTTCATCATTTTATACGTTATAAACTAGTTTTTCTATCTCTTTTGCAGAAAATTTTTTGTGTCAAAACATGTTTAATAAACATGGAAACGTATTTTCATACATTGAGAAGTAATTGTGTCACTATAGCTACATTATTATTGATTATGCATTTGTTTTAAAATTATTGGTTTTGTAAATACGAGTGAATCTTGTGTGGGTTTTCAATTAAAACAGAATTTGAAGCATATTGAAAAGTACACATATAGAAAAAATTAATCGAAAGTAGAATTTATGTAGATTTAATCAACATGCTAATAAAGCTCAGTCTTTCTAAAAATAAATAATAAATAATAATAATAATATTGATAATGATAATATAGTGATGCAATTCAAATTGATAAATCGTTTTGTCGTTCTGCAATTACTCAACTTTTAACTACCCACGTAATTAAAGTTCCATAAATGGACGATACATGTATTACACGAAAATATTTTACTTGAAGTATGGATGACCCATGTATAATAAATCAATGTATTTTAAACAAAAAATCTGGATAATATTATTGAAATGATAAGCCTGAAATAAAAAATGACATAATCACTTTTAACCAGTAAATCCTTTAAAAATTAAATTGATTTCTGAAATCAGATTAACTTACTTAAATTACTTACCCAATCTAACCAACTCTGAAAACACACCGTATAATCAAATGTAAACAAACAAGGTTAAGAAATTAAAATTGTAAAAGTATTTTTGATGTGTATTACAAATGGACCAAACATGTATCTTCCAATGATGAAATTGTAAAATCTAAACTTTGGTTACGTGGTTTAATTCGATTCCTTTCAATGGTAAGACAAAAATGCCATTCAGAATATTTTGATTAAATTAAATCAAACAATCAACAAACTTAAGAAGAAAATTTCAAAAGCTCTCAATATCAACATAATCCTATTATTAGAATCGTTAAATCATTAAAAAGAAGGAATTAGGTCATAGCATGAAAATATTTTGATACACATAAATTAGGATAGTAAACATTTTAATCTTCTTACAAATGTAATTAATTCGGTAATGTTAAAAGCTGCTTAAATATCAAAATTATACATTTTAAATTTGACAAAAACTAAGTGCATGCATGCTCATTATAAAATGTTCAAATTAAATCTCAAAATTCAATGTTTTTTCAGTGATAACATTCGCACAAACAGTCACAATTTTTGATGCAATTGTTTAAAATGCTTAAAAGAGTTATGAAAGTATTTACCGCGAAGAGGATGAAGCAGAGAAATTCCAATTTTCACAAAACATTAACCGTTCTCAATTCTTTTCCCTCCTAGGTGACATCGATTGAAAACTACATGAGATTATGCACAACACAGGATGGAACGCAGCAGTGGTTTTCTCGTTCCAATGTGACCGCAATTATACTCCTAATATGGTTCATTGGATGTGTGGCGTCAGGACTACAATATGTTTCTGAAGTAAGCTTCGATTATTGTAAAAGAAATAAAAATAGCAACAAAACTTTACTGCCATTTGAGACAGGTAATGTGCTCTTTTTGATTATCCAATTCTGTAAATTATTATTTTCACTTTTATTGGTAGTTGCTGCGACTATTTTTATGAGCATTAATTGCTCATGCCTTTATTGACTAAGGCGTATTGCCTTTCTCTACATTTTTATGGGTAATTTTCTCTAGAGACTCTAATAATTTCTTAACCAGCTCGTTGATTTTTCAGTTAGATGTAAACATATGACTAGACATTGCATGATAGTTATTGATCATGTGCTTGATAAATTTACTTTGGTTTAAGACAAGGGTCAGACACTCCAAAAGTATTGTTCAGTATTGTACAATACTTTACAATACATATGAAAGTATTGTAAGTATTGTACAATACCTACAATACTTACAATATTTACAGTACTTGTATGGCAAGTATTGTAAGTATTGTAATTTTTACAGGACACTTTGACAGGTCTTCAAAAAAAAATCAATTTTTAGGAAAATTAACCTGGGTGGATAAAAATAAAATCTGGTGTGCTTTGAAAATATGTGTACACATGAGATATGTGCGGAAATGTGTGAAAATGTGTTGATATCCACACATATCCACTCATTTTCGTATGTGCACATGTGATATATGTTGGATATGTGTATAAATTATGGAAAACAGAACATATTTTAACAACCCTGAATTATTTTAAAAACATTTTTAATTTTTAAATGAACTTTGAAAACGAAAAAGGGAAAATAGAAGGAAACGTTAAATAAAAATCCTATTTTAAATCATTTTTACATGATATCTTGATGATTAAGACTCTTATTGTAATTGTCAGGACCAAAATCAAGATGCTATAATGCGATATAAATCTCAAATATCAAAAAAAAAAAAATTAAAAACATAGACAAGAAGAGATAGTAAGACATTTGTCACCTTACTTACAAGAATTCACACACTCTCGTAAGATTTTAACAGAAAATCTAGAAAACCCTTCCTCTAAGTTTAATCATAGCCCACTCTTGTTTCAAAAAATATCTGGTTCTAACCCTTAACAGGATGAAAATAATGGTCTTAGCTTAGATTTTTTTAATTCGAATAAATAAAACTCTACAAATGGCTCCATCATATAGTTTATTAAAAACTTCTTTAACACTATCCTGTGATTGTAAAGTAAACATTGTGATTTAAAATTCAGATAAATAAGGTAAAAGATACAAAAGTTATGGCAAAAAAGTAATTTTGTATGAAAAATATATGGAATATAAAAAAGTTAATTTAATTAACCTTCCTGTGGTCCAATCATTTTGATTTTTTGGGCAGTTCTTGCCAGACGCGGCAATAGCGTCATTTCTTGAAAAGAAAATGCTTTAAAAAGTACCTTATTTTCTCGGTAAATTTATCTAAATGCACTTAATAATAATACATTTTTTCGAAAAAGTCACATTTAATCAATTAATTGATTGCCTAAACTGCCCCCAAACCACTATGATTTAACTTTGATCAAGCTTCTAACCATATTCTAAACAAAGAATTAGTTGCAATTAAGTCAATTTAAAAAACAAATTCAATGTTTATCTTTAACAAGAATTTAAATCTTCAAATTAATGTTTCCATTTAAACATTTGATTTGTGTAGTGCATGAAAAATGTAAACTTTATTGGTCAACTTTGAAAAATAAGGCAAAAAATTAAGATCAACACCAATTTCACCAGAAAATTTTAAACTTTAAATGTTAATTTGCAATAAATAGTGTAAATTTATAAATAAAATTTATTTCTCTTTCAATATTTATCAAAAACCATGTTATTTGCATACAAAAAATGTTTAAAACACAAAAAAATACTTAATTTCTTTAAAACTTTGCTTCCTGAATAATTAAATTTCAGTATTGTAAGTAATGTAAAGTATTGTAAATTTATAAAAGAATTACTTATATGGCAAGTATTGTAAGTATTGTAGGTATTGTACAATACTACAATACTTGTTTGGAAAGTATTGTAAGTATTTTACAATACCGTACAATACTTTGGAGTGTCTGACCCTTGGTTTAAGATTAATTTAAAAATTCTTAATTTTTTATAACTCCAATATCTCTTTTCTCTTTCCAATACCCAGGCGTTATCGCTACACTCATTTTATTGCCATTACTGATTACATTCCTCGTTCACATTCGAATAATAATTGATGCGAAAAAGTTCATGAGTCAACCAAGCTTTAAAGCAACTGCAATGTACAAATCTGACTTTTCCCTCGTGCGAAGTAATTTCTATAGCTTCCTAACATTTGTATTATTTTGGCTGCCATTTAGCATTGCATTTGCAATATCAGTAACGACATCACCGAAGAACATAAATGACAAGGTCTTTTATTATACATCTTGGATGGGATTGTTGAAATCGTGCTTTCACAATATCATTTATTGCATCACAAATCGACATTTTCGTAATGCGTATTTCAATTTATTTAATTACTGTTGCTGTAAAACCACTGTCTCTACTGCTCGTCGAAGACAGCAAGATGTAACGAGATCAGATGTTCGTGTACATATAATTCCTGGATATAATATGTATTCATATACGAGTCCACAACGAGCAACACATGGACACTCATGGGCAAAGCGTGATTGTCATGAATTATGATCTGAGATTTAGTTTTCCAAAATTTAAGTTTATTTTGCTGCTTATTCTTATGTGTAGATACGTGTATAAACAAAATACATCATAGCATGCACACGAACGCATATAAATAGCAAGTTTTAAATTAAATTTAATGTTTGACTATATGATTTCATCAATATGGTGGCAGAAATTGTGTGCTGTAGCTAAAACTAAAGTGTATGTCCATGTTCAGAAGAATCGAGAAAAAAATTAACTTTCATAATTGTGGTATAACTAGGGTTACCATCTAATAGACTTTTCCATGAATGTAATGTTTTTTTTTTTGAGATTTTTCCTGTGTTCTATTTTGTCCTGTTTTCTTTAAGAAACAATTTAAATTGTGTTTTCTTCTGCCAAAGAATTTAAAATTGTTTAATATTCTACATAAAACTTAAATTTTGCAAATTTTCCGAATTTAATTCTACGGTTTGAAAAATTTTATTTTTGAAAGCAAGGACAAGAGCAATTTACACAATAGAAAAAAGGATGCTGGGTTATAAATCCAGATACAAAAATCTTGCACAGAAAATTATCAGTCCAGAAAATTAAAGGTTTTTAAGTTTAAGGTTTTTAAAGACCTTTAGTGACTTTTATTATCTAGACTTATAATCTCTGGAATTATAGTTTCTGGACTTATAATCCAGCATTAGAAAAAATAAATTATTAATACAATAGATGTACCACAAAAATAGACTTTCAGCAATAGAAATTGTACCTTGTAGAAATTTTTTATAAAAAGAACAGAGCATAAATAGTTGCTCCAGAATGCACTGAAAGAGAAAAAAATTAGTTGTTTGTTTTCAAAGGTCAAACCATGAATGCATAGTCCTTCATGAATCCAAAAATACACAAAACACGCATAATCATAATTATGTATAATTTCAATCAGCAAAATTTGTTCAATCAATAAATTTAATCAAAAGGTGAGCAAATTGTTTTTTTTTTATCAATCGTGAATAATGAACGAAATCATTTTGTCAAATATTTGATATATTTTGGCAATTTAATAATTATTACCATTCGATTACTTCTTAAAAAATTAGAAAGTTAAAAATAGAAATTTCTATAACTTATTCGGCCAATTTCACAAAGGTGGATAATCCTCATTTTCGGATTATCTATTTCTTTGATATGAGAAAAATCCAAATAATTTTTTTCTGGTGTAGAATTAATTGGTTAATAATAATCAAACTAGTTTGAGAAAAAATCTTATTATTGTATTGTGAATATAGCGAAAAAATAATTTTTGTATATGGATTATCCTAAGATTATCCTAGGATAATCCCGAAGATTATCCGAATTTTCAATCTTGGGGGGACCCAGTTTTAACATTTTGGAATAATTATGTGGATAATCCTAGGATAATCTCAGGATAATCCACATACTAGGATAATCTTTTTTTGTGAAATCCATTGTCAAAAAATTATTTTTTTCAAATCCATTTTTTCTGATACACCGTGCAGTTTAACGCAGTAAAAAAAATCATGGATTATCCTTGGATTCAAAAAGTGGATAATCCGATCCGAGGATTATCCACCTTTGTGAAATCGGCCGATTATTTCTCAACTTGAACTTTCAAGGTCAGATAAGAGAAAATTACTTACAGTTAGTCATCAATATCACTAATGACTTTAAATTATTGGAAACAGGGAGGTACATTTAAATTATGTAATATTCTGTGAAAAATAAATCTAAGCAAAAGGTCACAATCAACGAATGACTCCCAAAAAATAATGAAACTTTGAGAGTATCATATGATAACAAATAAGAAATGAAAAAAACAGTGAAATTAAGCTCTTAAAGTAAATTCCATTAGCATAAATCTCCTTCCCTAAAAGTTCATTCAATAAAAAAGCAGCTCTATTTATTCTCTCAGTGCACGAAGAAGGAAAAAAGTAAATTGAAGTAAATCAACAAAAAGCAAAAACTCTATTTTTAGTTTTTATTACTGTGCAAAGCAAGCAAAGGAAGGTACTTGATGGTAGAAAGAAAATAATAAGAGAACCCTGCATTGAAGCTTTTCAAGAGTGAAACTAGATTCTTCTATTAAATTAAACGCTTTTTAAATGAACAAAGAGAAGAAAGATTATTGGTTGACATTACAGAATAGACGTAACATATATCGAACGCATGTTTAAAAGTCATTTGAATATTTATTTACATCTATCCATTTCAAGTTTTCATCAAAAATTCATTAGCATATTTTCTCGACAAACTTAGTTGAATTTTTTTGTTTAAAAAAAACATGTAAAGAATCATCAACGAAACGTCGATTAGGAAGATTAAAAAAATATTTACCGGAACTAAAACTTAGAATCACAAAGAAAACATTTTTACTAAAAGAGAAAATTTAATTATAGGATTGCGATTTTCTTTTTTCAACTAAGAAACGCTTTCGACAAAAACATTGAAACTAAACTGTGTATCGTGTAATGATGACTTATGATGTTTTCTTTTATTTAACCTGGGAATTACTTATTGCTTTAAAATGTCTAGAAACTTTTAAGTATTAGATTAATTTTACGTTCCTTTTTTTCCTTCATGTCTATAAATAATACATTTTTCTGGCGATACGACAGGAAAAATTTGAAAAGAAAAAGTTTAAAAGCCATTAGAGTTCTGATGTTTTAAAGACACCGTGTGAGAGCACATGTGATTGTCACATGTTCTGTCTCAACAATATCAGAATTAAAATTATAAATTTGTATTTAATTGTTGTGGAAAATTTGAGTTTCTGAATTATGAATGGCTTATTTTTTAAATTCATGATCAAAATCAAAGACAATTCCACATTAAAAGTATTATATTAAGCCAATGTACGTTAAATGTATTAAAAAAAAAACAAAATAAGCTAATTTATGATTTTCGAAATTAGGAGAAAGAAAACTTTTGCTCGTGTACGATTTCCCAAATATCACAAAAGCATGTTAAAGGCAATAAAAGTTAAACATGAGAAAAGTAAAGTGATGAATAAGAACCATAACAATTTCTATTTTATAAAAGATGTTAACATATTAAATAACCTTGATGTTTAAGCATACAAACAACATAATAAATTACATACATTACATAAATGCATCATATCCTTGTGATATTTTTTTTTTTTTTTTTTTTCGTTAACGCTCTTTTTCTCCATCAAATATTTTTTTATTCTTCTTATTTGTAACCTCTAGTCTACGCAACAACTTTCATGCAAACATTTATCTTCATCAATATATTTCATAAACATTAACATTAAGAATTATTTAATCTTGTGTGATTGTCGAACATCAGTTCCATGGCATTAAGAACTTAGCAACTTTGTTACATAGAAAGTTTATGACATACACAGTCCTTTTTATGAAGATGATAATGAATGTTGATGATATTCTGTAATTTCAAACGTATTTGCTAAATTTTATATTTAAGTAACAATCTTTAATTTTGCGTCTGCAAGATAATTTTCGACAGTTTTAAAGTTGTCTAATCATCTCTAATTTGAGTGCGATTATCGTAACGTGAGAAGTAAAAAAATTTCACTACTTATTCTCTTATTCACATTCATTTTCACCCATACAAGAAAAAAAGTAACAAATTTATTGTAGAATAGAAAACAACAAGAAATAGGTACTTAAAGTGTAATAATTAATAAATAGTAAGATACAATTCACAGACTGAATTATATATACATACTTATCTTTCTATGTGAAAAATGCGCTGTGGATTCTATTCCACCATTCAAATAAAGTAAGGAGAAGACGAAACAAATGACAAAACAAGAGAATGAAATTAAACACTTTCATCGTAATGATGGAAAAAATTGTTTTTTTGCGTGATGTCATAAAGTAAAGCTAGAGTCAGTAAAAATGGTAGGAGGAAGTAAAGGAAAAAAATAAAATTTATTGATCATATGATTAAAGTGCGTAATGTCATCCACAATGAGAAACAGATGAAGACAAAAAAAAGTCGTATTGTAAAACTATTCTGTACGCGCTAAGATAAATACTGATGAAAATAGAAGCACATAAGATAAGGAATATACACATATATACACACATCTAGACATAAGTGACAAAAAGAGTCATCAATTTTACATGTCGTTCAGATGTCCTAAACATGTTTAATATATATATCTACATTTACTTGCTATATACACAACATATATATTATGAATAATTAAATTTAACAGAAATAATGACTGCTTTTCAAGAAACCAAAAAATAAGAACTGAAGATTTTTCTAAGATTTATCAATACTGAGGGAAATTTCATTGTCATAAAAAGTTTATTGAATTATAAGTGAGCAAATTTTGAATTTTTTAAAAATTAAGTTTTGCCAACAATGAAAAATTCTTTCGGAAATTTGCTAAGTTTTATAAAAATATATAATCTTTTAAAAACTTAGATAACAATTTTTTTAAGATTAGCTTTGTAAGCATAATGAATGAGCTTTTAAAATATTTTTTAAATTTGTTGATCGCCTGAAAACCTTTTGTTTTAAAAAAAAATTTAAGAAGTTTTTTTTTCTGAATTAAAAACCTCAAATTTATAACCAACACATAAAATAGAAATGTTGATTAGAAATTCAGTTAAAAATTGAAAAGATATGAAAAAAATTAAAATAATTGTTATTGTAAAATTAATATAAAGCATATTCTAAATGTTGACAAAAAACTTTTAAAAGCAAAAGAAACAAATGAAAATCAAGAAAGAAATATTTTAAATCGTAAAATGAAAATAGTTACACTAAACAACACAAAAATGATGAGAGATCAAGATTTGAAAAAAAAATACATTACCATAGATAAAAGATATTTTTTTTAAAAATTTTAGAAGTTAAAATCCAGAAATCAAAAACAAAAAGAAGAATATTGTTTGAAAAATTAAGAAGTAATTAACATATATACATGCATTATATATTTATTAATTGTATTCAGCAAAATTACACTTACGTATACAAACCTACGTATATTAACAGTATGATAAAAAAGTAAAAATAGTAATCTAAATAAAATAAATACTATATATATACCGTAACATTTGTATAAAAATTTAGAATGTTCTCGATGGTGCTTTAATATATGCATGTACTTAAGCTGATGTCTTTTTTTCCTTTTTTCTTGCTCTATCTCCCAGTAACAAAAGCGACAAGAAAATCTACTTTGATATTATTTTTTATATTATTTACTATCATAAGAGAGCTTACGTGATTCAACTTTCTATTTTATTTCCATTCGTAGATATTGCAGACTTTTTGCTTTTTTTAAATTAAAATATGATTCAAAATACAAATTCTGTAACAAAAGCGGAAGTTTTTTTGATAAAAGCAAAACATTTGCTCGCAACACATTACTTAAATCATTTCAAACTTCAATAAAAATCCATACTTTCAAAAAATAATTTACTCTCATACTCTTAAATACATAAAACAACTCAAGTCCTTCTTGGTTGATTCACACCAAAAAAAAGTAGATATAACAAAGGAATGCAATTCATTTTGATAATGTTTTATCTTAAAGATTTCCATTATTAACAACATTGATTGATAAAGTTGACTAAAATACGAAAGAAAAATAAACAATGAGGAAAAATATCTTGATTTTTGGGACCATAATTTTTCTCATGAAATATATTAACATGAATAAGAAAAATGATAAAATGTTATAAGCAAAAAACTTTTTGCATTAAATGATAAGAAGTATAAACTATTTACACGTGACTATTAGCAATTAAAATGTGTTATATGTGCTATTAAGTGTTCAATTGTTAACTTGATATTATTATATTATGAAAATGAAAAATGATGCTAACATGACACACAAAAAATTGATGAAAATAAAAAAAAAATAGAATTTTTCCTAAATCAATGACTTTTTCCTTTCAGAGTTCTAAAAATTTACGATAATTAATAAGTATGCTATTTAAAGCAATTTATTTCTCTGGTCGCGGATTTTGATTATTTATACATAATCAAAAATTATCAATATTCATTATAATCTTCATTTTTCTCAAAATTCCAGACAAAAAACAACAGCTTTGGCTATTTTCTTTTCACGATTAACATATCACAAAACACTCATCACAAAAAATTAATGGTGCTCTTTTTTCGGTCAGAATATAATAAAGCAACAAAATTGTTGGCTTATATCATTATTACAATCATCAGCGTCATCGAGTAAATATTTACAGAGTTTGTTCTTAGCACCAATGTTGCTTAAAATTTGAGATATTTTGGAAGAAATTTTTGGAGAATGCTGATCAGTTTTTGAATTCTGAAGTTTTTTGAGAGTTGAATAATGTTTGATATGATCGAATAAGCTGGTCATCAATCTTTTACCTTTGAGATAAAAGAAATCTTGAAGTAAAGTAATTGAAAAGTATAAGCTCAGAGTCCTTGAGCTTTAATATTCGATTTTTAAAAAGCTCTTGAAGTTCAAATTTTTAAAAAACGTTAACACAATTTCCAGAACAAAAGATTATTTTTTCATACAAAAAAATTTAATATTTGTACAGAAACTTTGCTGAATTCAGCAGACATTTGAAAGGTTTTATAGAATTTTGTAAACATAAAAATAAATTTACGTGTATCTTTTCATAACTAGTGTTTTAATTAGAATAATCTAATTATTTATTCAGAGATGACATATATTTCATTAAATCTTTTTGTTCTCGTCACAATTTGTGTAGTAAGTAACTCAAAGCTATTATAATAGAGCCAAAAACTATACTTTTATAAAGTTTTTAGGGCTGAAGTGTACTTTAGGGGGGCCAATATATGATTTTTTTTTAAATTATTCTTTTTAGCTAAAAATGATGTAAATGAGTAAAAAATAATAAAATTATATTAAAAATAGTAAAATTGAGTGATTTTGAGTAAAATTTTTATTGAAATTTTTCACCTTTTTAAGATTTGTGTACCAGAAAAGCCGAAAGTTGAATCAAATAGTGAAGAATCCGAAAGTATTTGATAAACTTGAAATATAGTTTTGAATTTTAAAAACCTAGCGTAAGACTATAATGATCCCTTTGACAAAAGGTCCGAGAAAACTGATTTTACGTAAGACTGTAATGATCCCTTAGACAAAAGGTCCGAGAAAACTGATTTTACGTAAGACTTTAATGATCCCTTAGACAAAAGGTCCGAGAAAACTAAAAGTATTTCTGCATTCAAAACTTAAAAAAATGCAAAAAATGTAAAAAAAATCTTAACAAAACTTAAAAAATTTAAAAATTTGCAAAAACTTCAAAGAATTTTTTCAAAATCACTCAAATTAACTATTTTTACTATAATTTTACCAGAGATCGAAGCAGATTTTTTCGGCTTAACTCAATTTTTGATTTTTTTGATAGAAAAAAGCCATTTGACACCCATTTCAAGTATTTAAATTGAACTTTATTCCGATCGGCTTAAATTTCAGCTTAACATTCTTTAACTTGAAATTCTGAGCTCACTATAGCTACATGCTGAAAAAATATTACACAGAATCATGGTAAAGCATGTAAAGTTCAATTTAAATACTTGAAATGGGTGTCAAATGGCTTTTTTCTATCAAAAAAATCAAAAATTGAGTTAAGCCGAAAAAATCGGCTTCGATCTCTGAATTTTACTATTTTCTACACATTTATAGCATTTAAACTTTTAAACTTAAAAAACATTATAAATTTTTTTCATATATTGACCCCCCTAAAGTACACTTTTACCTTTTTTAGACACTAATCTTTAGCGAGTTTACCGATCAAGACTGCAAAGATCTTGGATTTATCAAGTCAAAGTTAGTATGTTCATCATGTGATAATTTAAAAGAATTTGGGCTTGAGGAGAAGAAGGATCATTGTTATCAGTGCTGTCAAAAAGAAAGTCGTAGTTCTGGAATAAAGAAAAGATATCCCAAAGCTGTTTTGGAAGTTTGTACATGCAAATTTGGTGCTTATCCTCAGGTACTAATAACTTATTTTTTCTTGTGCCTAAATTAAATAACTCTTCTTGTAGATTCAAGCCTTCATTAAATCAGAACGGCCGAGTAAATTCAAGAATCTTCAAATCAAGTATCTCCGCGGCCTTGACCCACAAATCAAACTCTATAACAAGAAAGGAAATATCGTTGAGACATTGAGTATCACTAAATGGAACACAGACACAGTTACCGAATTCTTTGAAACGCATTTGGAGCAGGAAAATGAGGATGGAGAAGATGACAGAGATTATTTAAAGACTAACCGTATTTAATTCAATTTAAATGTTAATTGAATAAATAAAAAAATTCTAAAGGAAAAACCGAAATAATTTTTATGCCGTGTCATGGACCATCAATAATGTCCATAATTGAAAGAAATTCCCATTAAAGACGCTAAAAGGAACAGTTAAATTTATAAAGCTTTAAGTTTCAAAAATATGATGATGAGCAATATTTATAGCCAAAACATCCAATAAATGAAAGAAGAGTCTCGTTTTTATTGACCATTAGTAAAAAGTTTTGTATATTTGGATTTAGTTCCTCAAGTCCATAGCCCTTATTCTAAATTATTTTATTTCTTACCCCAACAAAGGGCAAGTGTACATGCTAAACTTATCCTGTTATCAATTTCGAGTGATTTGTCTTTATGGTTCGTAAGTTTAGAGCTTGCTAAATCTGGCGGGAAAATAAAGTCAACTGTTTCGATTCTTTTGTCAGGAATCTTTTTTATTACAGAAGATTCTGTTGATACGACTGCTTTTGTTGATGATAAATAATCTGTCGTTTTCGAACTTTTTAAAATTATGACTTTAGGAACTGTTGATTCTTTATATTCGGTTGGAAATACAAAATCTCCTATTTTTTTATTGTCCACATGTTTTCCTTTAGTTCCTGTTGGTTCTGTTGTTTCTGATGGAAAAATAAAATCTTTGAAATTTTTGATATGCTTTGAAGATATTTGTTCTAGTTGCTGTTGTTTGGCGACTGCAAATAAAGGTTTGTTCTCTGCAAAGAAAATTTTCATCTTTTTAGAAAAATTATCGAATTTACAAAAAAAAAATTTCATCAGTTTAATTTTAAGTCGATATAAAATCTACTTGATTCTCTAAAATTAACTAATAGCAATAAACGAGACCTACCTGTAAGATCAATAAAAATACCATAAATAGTAAGCACAACAAGCAATATTTGAGACGACATTATTAAATATTTTTAAATAGCAAGTCTTTTAGTAAAATAATTTGAAGCGATTGTCGCAAAATCCAAGTTAAAACTGAATGCGAAAACCAAAAACATTCTCATTTTGATGATTTTGACGAGAAAGCAGATGCTCGTGTTCATTGTTCATGTGATTCCCATATTAAGATTTTTTAGTGGTTCAACAGGTTTAGATGCCACGTGGTAAACACTTTTCGACTTTTTTATGCATTTTTAAATCTGTGTAAAATGTGAATGAATGGCCAGATTCAATGAAAACACGTGAAAATGTTGTAAAAATAGCCGATCTTAAGCTTTTGTTAATTTAATATCTCTTAGGAGCTCTTAGGACGAGATTAGCACGAGATTTTACGAGAGTATATCTGATGATTAATATTGATCATATGATTTGGAAAATGAGGCTTCTGCTGGTAAATACATTTAAATTATTCTCATTTTTATGATTTACTTTTATTGCACACTCGTGTTAAAGACTTTTGTGCAAATCGATCGTAACCTTGCTTAAACTGTTAAAATTTTACTACTTGGTTTTTCAAAATTTTTTCATTTTTTCATTATCATTCCTTTTACAGCATAAAGGAATTAATAGTGAAAAGCTCCATGTTTACTTTTTGGATTCGGGAAATCCAACTATTGAAAACTGTCTAGTTTTGGATTGATTTAAATTTTTACATTTGCAAATTTCAAAACTTTTGGAAATTCCAAGCAGTAAAGCATTTTAACATTTTATTAATTTAATTGAAACATATTCAATCATGATAAATTTTGGATGTTAAGAAATTATATTAAAATAAAATTTATTTTGAAGGTAATTTTCTAAAAAAACAATTTAAATTTTTAATTTTGGAAAAAAAAAACAATTTACACAAATATTTATACAGTTAAAAGGTGTGTTCTAACAGCTCATAAGAGAGAAATTCCAAATTATGATATTTTCAAATTCATTGTGCATAAAGAGTTGAAAAAAAAAAACAAAAAATTTCATCAAAACTAAGTAATTTAATTTAATTCCCAAATGGTGAAATGCAAATTGTTTTTTCGAGTCAACATGCAAACTAAATGATTACTTTTTTCCTTGTATTAGAGCTTGAAGTTCCATTCTCATTGTCATAGACTGTTTTTTCGACACTTTCTTCGTTCAAAAATTTTCTCATCTGATTTATGAGTTCGGTATTCTCAGCCATAATTCTCATAAAATCAGTTTTCTGAAGTATGAGAATTAAACATTCCTCAGCAGCCACATAATACATGCATGTCTGTGAATTGAGTTTTTTTTTTAATTTAAGTTTTACGATAGTTAAAAACTTAGTATAGATTCTAAAGACCACCAACTTCCGTATCAGCCTTAAGAAATCCTTCAAACATGTGTAACAATTAGCAATTTACTCACAATTGACTCGCGATATTGGAGAAACTCCATTGCGCCAAACATATTCCTATCATACAGATGTGCCATTTCATTTCCGTCTTTTGTGTAAACAGCTACCGTTCCATGTACAATAAAGTACAACTTCTAAATAAAATAAAGAATATTTTATGAACATTTCGAGATTGAAGTAAAGGAAATTAGTTTATGCAGAAGAGATGAGAAACAAGGAAGGATGTAAGGACATGGGCTAGCAAGAGAATAAAGTACAGTTACTGTTGATGAAATGAAAGGAAGGAAGTTGAGAATTTAAAATGCATTTCAATATTCCTGTAATGTTGTCCATACTTGACCATGATTAAAATCGTTCCTGCTTATAATGTCGTTCTGTAAGTAGGTTTCTTCCACCATGCAGCTCGCAATGGGTTTGAGTAAATTTTCAGGAAGTGTTTTAAATATGTAGCTGTTCCACAAATGCTCTTGACATATCTCTATTGCTATAGACTGTCTTAGTTCTCCTCCCAGTAATGTTGAAATCTGTTCCTTTGAATAAAATTTATCCTTGAAGCTAAAGTCGTAATACGATAGGATTCTTAACTGTATTGATTTTGGGATGTGCTTAAAAGCTATATACGCTCCTAATTGATAGCGAATCTCTTGAAATCCCAAACAAGGTCCATAGGATGTAGTTAAATACATATATGCTTCTGACACGAGCCAAATGTGCAACGAAAACCCAATTAATGTGAAGATGATGCCGACAGTCATCTAAATAATTGAAAAGAATGATAATGAAGAAAAACGTCATTGATATAAGTTTGTTGTAAAAAAAACGTGATAAAATAGATACAAATGATGGCTTATTTTAAGAGTAGAGTTTTAAATTTTTAAAGAATGAATGCATGGTGTTTAAAATAAAGAGCCTTGGAAGAAACTCATTAAATTGATAGCAATAAAGCAAATCGCCTCCTCCAATTTTTACAAAAATCATTTTCACTTGAAAGCCAACATATTTTTCAAAGGATAAAACCTCTCAAAACTTACGCAGAAGGTTTTTTCATGAACGATGCTGTAATGACAGTTCTTAATGTTGATTAAGAATGACAGCATAGTCACTTATAAGAAGTTTATGAATTCTCAGAATTCAGACTTCGCTTTACCTATCTCATAGATTGTTAAGTAAGACATTTTTTAATAATATTAAATCAAGTTCATACAAAAATTGCATGAAAAATGATTCTTTGAGTGTTGTTGATGGTAATGAAAAATCACAACAACATGTGAATAGAATGAATCATGTTGAATGATAAAGTGGCGTTTAAAAGTGATTCTTTACAAAGTATGAGCTATTTGATGATTGAACTAGATCATAAAAATAAAGTTCTTTCAAAATCGTTCATTCATACATTTTATGTTCGCATGGTAGGTGCAATGAAATTACATTTTATGTTGATGTTGTGTTGTACACAGCAAACGGTAATTGATGTGAAAAGAAGCATTACTTACATCAACTTGACTTTTCTCTTCGATTGTGCTCGCAAATAATGTGAGTGTATATGTCGTGTAGAAAAAACAGATGATGTACTTTTCAACTGTGTTGTATTAGCGGGAAACCCGAGAGAAAAATTTCCATCAATGTATATAGGTACATGTGAGAGAAAAATGAGAGAATAGAACGGTAGAATATGATTACATTGTTGGATATTTTACAACCTGTTGCTACATCATACCATCGTTAGTGTCTGTCCAAAAACTTTTCTCGATTAAGGAACTTTTGCCACTGCTACCAGTTATTATTCCAACGTAGTCGGGTGATGAAGCAAAAATTCTAAGAATCAGAAAGTGAAGACATACCGTGAAGTGATAGCAGATTATAATTGTGAAAATATTCTGAAATGAAAAATATTTTTTTCTAATAAAAATTTAAAGAGTAAATTTAAAGTTAAATTTAAAAAATTGAAACTAATGTTTGAACCAAAATAAATCTGTCCAAAATAAATTTTTGGTTGATTTTTTTTATTGTGAAACTTAGGTGATTGAAGTAAAATTGGAAAATCGGGGAAACTTTTAAAAATAGACTTCATTAAAAAAAAATTTTAATCATACCTTGATAATTTTAATAGTGAATTCACTTCGCTTGTGCTGATCCTCCAGGTAGTTAGTCAAATATTTGAAAAACAACGGTAGTTGAATAATTTTCAGTAATGATAATATTGAAGCTATATCCCAAAAACATGACCCTAATGAATTTCTCGACGTATTCAAGCATTCATTGATATCATTTCCATAGATTAAATCATCCGAACCGAAAAACTTTTTTGGAAATTAAAATTTTAATTGCCTTGCTTCTGACATATCCGATGGGATTTAATCACAAAAAGATAATAAAAGTTCTCTTACCCATATTAATATTAAGCGATCTGGTATAGAGCTTAGAACGTCAATCCAAAAGTAGTTTCTAATATAGTGCCGGGCTATCTTTCGTCCATCTAATACAATCCTCTTTGTTTGTTGATCTTGATAACATGAAAGGAAGTTAATTGCGATGTCTATCAGACAAATGACATCTCGGTATAGTGAAAATGAAATGAAGATAAAAAATTATATCAGATATAGCAATTGACGTATTGAGTAATTCTCAAAAGATGCTGATTTAAATTACCAATAACTGATGCGATTTCCCAAATTACCAAATTTTCAGCTCTCTTCTTGCCGAATACAAAAGACGCATCAATGGGTATTACAATGAATCCTAATCCGTACGTTATCATCATCAGCATTTCCCAAAAGTGACTTGTGTGTTGGAAATCATATTTTTTTTTGTGTTCGTTGAATGAAAAAAAGGAAAGAAAAATATTAAAAATCATAAAAAGTTTGCTTTGTAGAAAAGGTTGACAAAAATGATTGTACGATGATATATTTTTTGAGAAAACACTCTTGGGGATTTATGAGACGAACATTTTAAAACTTTTCAACGTTCTTGTTCACGATTTGATTAAATTTTATGAAAAACTGATAACTTTTATCAATTGAAATGAGATCTGAAGAATTTTTTCATTAAGTTACAATTTCATATTTTTAATTTATTTTTATAATTCATAATTGTGTTATGAAGTTATTTGTTAATTTTGATTGCGCCTTACTAATGAAACTATTAAGCAACACAGTTGAGTCTTTAAGGTGTCTCAACGTTATTTCGTGTATCATTGAATTTTTGTTGAAGCTTAAATGTTTTCGAGGAAATTTTGTGTTATTGACATTCCTTTAATGTCAAACGCCTAATGAGTGTAAGCAACACTTTTTTGGCTCAATGATGCTATATAATGGCACGTTCATTATCTTTCATCGAGCTTGTTCGTACATGCTTTCAAAAAGCTAGTTTGTAATTCAAAAACATATTAAAGTTTGTTCTTAAAGCGATGAGAATCATGACTGTTGTAAAGTTATGAACTTAAGAGATTATTGTATCTCGTGATTAACATTTTTCGTTTTTCAAATCCCTATCATAAATAAATAAATCCATCTAAGTTAAGAAAGGAAATAAGGAAGCGAATGATGTCTTAATAAAATATTCATTTGAGTTTTGTTGCTAGTGAAAAAAAATAAAGAATTGTTTTTCCATGATTACATAAAATCATATTGGCTAAATTAGTATAATTATTATTGTTTATGACGTCATTGCCAAATGTCTCCTTTTGATTAGCATCTTATTTTTATGTTATTATTTTAAAAGGGATTATTTTTAAAAGGGATATATGCGAAGCAAAGACGAATAATTTTGTATTTCGTTTCTTTTTCAAATTCAGGCAATATTTAAGATACGTCTTTTTACCGTTAAAAAGACGTATTCTGCTTTTGTTCATTTTTTGTCCCTAAGGGTAAAGGTTTGCTCCTGTCATCTAATTTTGTTTTGTTACAATAAAATGGCATTTGCTGTTTTTTAGTCTTTACCTTTCTACACCAAAATTCTACTTAATTCATCGTCATAGTTATCGACATAGCCCAAAAAGAACGCTTTTAAAATTTCAATAAAATTCCATAGTAAGATGACCTCAAAAATTATTTTTCTCACTTACCGAAAGCGACTGAAACAATGAACTTTATTAGGATAAAAAAGTAAGTGCTGCAACGTTTCAGCTTTGATATTTGTCAAGCTTTTCAGATTATTCCTCGTCCGATGCGATTGTGGATTTATTGAAATTAAACGGCGAATTTTCCTTTCGAGTTTTACTCGAAAACTTTCACCAGGAAAATATTCCTCAAATGGATCTTCTTCGTACATTTATTTTCGTTTACTCGAAATAAAATTTAATTTGATTTTTTTTGTACTTTTTTTGATATAAAAAAAATGATTTCTTTGATTAACTTTGATTTTTTATTGGCTTTTTTTCTTTCGAAAAATCAATTCAGACAAAATATATTTGTGTCCTACAAATGTAAATCCAAACGAGTTAACCTCGATAGAATTTATTGAATTTCTTCCATCGACTTCATCAACGGGTGATCATCAAGGGTGTCCTTTTCGCTTACCACCTGCTTTCAATCAGAAATTCTACTAGAATTTTTTTTTAACTTTCCTTTCTTTTTTCTGTTCTTTAATCAGTTTATTTCTGATATTTCATTCTCAATGAATGTCAGATGCTCGCCTTTAGTATTGGTTAGCGTGCTTTGTTAGAAAGCTGTCGAATTGTCCTCAGGAATTCAATTTCAGATCATTTTACTCGATTTGTGGCACAGAAACATGCAATTTTTTTTATTATGGTGCCATTTTATAACCCAAATGATTATTCAATAAGCTCAAGAAGTTTTTGAGTTTTATTAAATTTCTATAGACAAAATTCTATGATATATATATTAAAGTTTTAAATTCCATGAAACGCGTATCGATGAAATGTGCTCATGCATTGAAAACCAAATACTCTTTAGAAGTCTTTGTCATTGTAAATTTCCTATCAAAAGAATCATTTTGATACAGCCGTTATCGCACAATATTCACAATATGATTAAGTGTGTATTTCTTTTATGAGCAAGTATAAGTTGACTTTTAACAATGGAAATCTGCTTACAATTATAGTAAAAGCCTATAACAGGATTATTTTTTATGCTGGAATTTTTGAAGTTTTATGACTTATTTTGTAAATAGATTCAAAAGTCAATAACATGGTTAAGTGTTTCAATCAATTGATTTTTCATGTCTATAAATTCAGATTGTTATTGTTATATTAGACATGCAATTTGAAATTTATGTAGCAGTAATTTTTTCCATATTTTGCTTGTAAAATACGTAATTAAGGGTTAAATTCTTGTTGATGACCATTAACAGCAAATACAACATATATTGTGTTAAAATCTTACAATATTGTTTAAAATGCAGAAATAAGACATTTGATTCGAAATTGCTCGTTAATCTTTACCAATGAAAATCAATTACAATAATCTTTAAAAGAAATTGATCCAAATAAGACCTAAAATTTCAAGACCATTATAAAGCTATCAAAATCAACACTTAAATTTTTTTACTTAACAACCACACTGTCTATTTAGCTGTTCACGTATAAAGAATTAATACCACAATAAACAGTATAAAAATATTCTCAGTTTTTTTTACTTACTCACATCCAAATAATTTTTTTTACACATTTAAAATATTAAGGTAAATAAACCGCTAGACAGATTTAAGACTTTCATATATATCTTTAAATATCTCATCTACATAAATCTGCAGAAAAATTTGCAAGAAAAGACAATGTTTGGAATTTAGATTTCGAAAGAAAAAAAAAATGAAAAAAGCACTCAACATAAAATTTTAAAAGCAACCAAATTGAAATTTTTCATTCGACTGCCTTCCACATGATGACATGTTGAATTTATATTACCATAAAAAGAAATTGGAAAGCAACAACATTCTCAAGAGCTTAAACCTTCTCCTCACTTCTGTTCTGTTGAGAAAAAGGGGACGATTCAATGAATAGAAAAAAATGAAAATCTATTGATACACATACATTTTGATTTTGAATGAATAAAAAAATATTCTTCTACAATGAATTATTTAAATATCAATGAAAAATTGATTTAACTTGCTCAATAAAATCAAATCATAATAATGATGAAGGCATTATCATGTGCCATGAATAAAGTATTGTTGAAAATATTACAATCAACAAAAAACTTGCAAAAAACTTATGATTAAAATTCTATAATTTTTTCATTTTGTTACGTATTTTGAATGTTGTCATGGAACTTGACAGAAATCACATTTTTCTGCCCTTTAAATGGGATGAATAAAATTTTATTTTGATTGGTTGAAAAAATTATAATGAACTTGTAGTTTCTTTTAAAAGCAATGGATATATTTTTCATCTTGATCAATAAACTCATTAATAGTTAATTAAAATAAAATTCAATGATATTCAATACTTTAGGGATAAAAAACATTTGTCAGCTTTTAACTTAATCAAAACATTTTTCTTATTAATTAATAATTAGAAAATAATTAATAAAGTATTAATAAAGTATTATATGATTCTCCTTTAAAATATTGATTTAAATGTCATATGACCTAAGCTATCGAAGGTCAATGTGAAGATTGCGTAGCCAGATTTTAAAAGTTCTTTCAATAATTAATTAGAGCTCACCAATTAAATCAATCATGAAAACTTTTTCAGCATGAATTCACAGCCATATTAAATTATTAAATATATATCAAGTGTATGTACAACAATGATTGATGTATATTTGATTATGCTTGCAGGGAACATTCAATAAAATTTTTAATACAGCAGAGAGTTTCATGGGAGGTTTCTAAAATGATGTTTTAAAAAGTGTGTCATAAGATGAAAGGCATAATAATCTTCTATGATATTTATAACATCAAGGATCCTTTTTATTTTTTTAAATATATATGAACATCTTTTTTCAGTTAAAATGGTTAAAATATCTTTCTGGTATAAAATATACAAAAGGAAAGTAATGAAAAATGAGAAAAGGTTTGAAATGTATGGAAATTATTACGTGTGAGTAACTTTAGGAAAAATTTCATCGTAAAGATTTGAGAGCACATAAAACTTCTGAGAAATTACCTTAAATTTTATAAGCTCATGTTTCGAAGCCATTACTTCAATTTCTAGAATTTAATATTTAATGAATAAAATGAGAACTCACAAGCATCATTTAAATAATGATATAATATTTCTTAATTAATCAAAGCACAAATTGAATCCCTTAATCACATAACATCATATTGCAAATGAATCATTGCTACGTCTGTAAAACCAATGATTTAATTATCTGTTCTGAACTCATATGACTTTTGAATCAATTCCATTCACCCAAAGGCATATTTTTGTTACTTGATTATCTACTCAGAAAATTAACTTGTTGAGCATGACTGATTTCATGTAATAGATACTTTTGTAATACTAAGAGAAAAGTTCTCACGATGAATATTTTTGATTCAAAATTTATTTTAAATTTCTACGTTCCTTCGAATATCGCTTTAAGCATGTTTTCATTTCTCAAACATTACAAAAAACATTTATTAAAATAATTGCTTTTCTCTTCTTGCTTTTATTACTTCTTTGCTTCCTTCTTTAATTATCTTATAATTGGTTTAGTTATTGAAGGATAAAAAAAAACTCTTGAATTTATTGAATTTTATCATCAAAAGAACATCTTGAATAAAGGCGCAGAAATTTGAATTCTATTTCAAAATAACAAAGAGTTCTAAAAGTAAATTTTCTATTTCAAATCATGTTTTCTTCTTAACCTTTGTAATTTTTTCAACTCTATTAATTGAAAAACTTTGTGCTTGTAACATAAAAGAGTACTGAAACTAGCACAAGGGTGTTCAAAGCAGTTTTTATAAATGGAGTTAAACTGATTGTGATCTCAAGCTAAAGATAATAATTCTTTTTAAAGCTTAAAAAGAAGAATATGGCAAGAACAATTCAAGACAATTGTGTAGGTAAAGTTTTCATCCTAAATTGTTAACCTAAATTTTGATGTCTTACCAAATGAATGACCTTAAAAAATTTATTTTAAGAATTTAAACAAGAATATAAGCAAAATATTTACGAATTTAGTGCTAATTAACTGATTATGAACCTTTTACATCATAGAATTATTCATTAAAATCTCTACAAAAGATTTCACTAATTTAATTCAGGTATTTTTTTATCAACTTCTTTTGCTATCAAGTCAATATTTCAATTGAAAGAGGAAAAAGTTTTAGATGAAAATATTTTAAATGTCACAAAAAGTTTGGAAGTAAATCCTTTAAAATGTTATTAAAGTTCATTTTGACAATTTCAATAATAAAAAATTTTTATTCTTAAAAAGGAGTGCAAAGTTCATGGAAATGCTCCATGGCACTTAAAACAAGCATATTCAAAAAGAAAGTAATTTATCGCTATTTACACTTTTAAGTTTGCGGGATTAAAAAAAGTTCATTCACAATTCGAAAAAAGGTTTTAATTCGATTATGTGAGCGTAAATCTCAAAGGAGAGTAATTTATTTATAGTTTGTTCATATTAATGTACAACTAAAAGTGAGATGCAAAAAGAGTCACACTTATTTTTTATTATGCATTTTAATTCTTAAAACAGTAAATTGCAAACTATGCGTCGTGATTTGTATTGAACACTTTTTCATTTTGATTCAAGTTCATGAGACACATCATCAATAAAGTGACATACTAAATCATTCATGCGAATAAATTATTCTAATATACAAACATATCTCTTATATTTTTGATTGATATCCTTTGAAAAGTTGAACATCATTTTGAATGATTTGATGTAAACAGGAGCGTAGTCAGGGGAAAATTGGGGGAGAATTCCCTTTACATCAACAGAAATTTCTTCATTTTGCTAGGGTTTCATGGAAAAATTCTAAAAATCCCCCTTAACAACTCAAATTCCTGGCTATGCCCCTGCATGTAATAAATCAGGAATATTAGGAAGCTGAAAATAAATTTTTTGTTCAAATTACAAGTTATATCCACAAGCATGTAAATATTCAAAAAAATCAAGAATAATTCAAACATGTTATTTTGCTTTAACGTTCATGAATGGAAAGCACAATACGTGTACATTATGGAATTTTCTCATCGAGTAAAATAAACCAAAAAGACAGTATGTCCATAAATCTTCTCGAAAATGACATTACTGCAATCTATAAGATGTTTACAAACACTATCAATTTCTACAAACTTCAGTTTAAAGAAGATGCTTTCAAATGTATAATCAAGGAGTTCTGTTTCAATTGAACTCACCAAACTGTTCAAATGTCAAATAAAGCATTTAATCAGAGAAGTAAAATTCACTCATTCAGAAAGTTTTATTTCACGTAAAAATTTCACCGCTAAGAGTTATCGAGTTTTGTTTGTTATCTGCTCTTGTTGGTTCAAATGTGAGATGGAATGTGATAAATATAGAATTACTCTGATCCATTTGGTTGCTGTTCTGCAACTAAATAAAAATCTGAAAATTTTGTCTAAGAAAATATTCTCAATTTTGCAAAAAATTTGCTTTCTTAAATCTCGTAAAAAACAATTTAACTAAAATGATTTTTTGAGTGGCATCTCAGCATACAAAAGTAAATGTTCAGCTTCTAAAAAATTATTTTTGTAAATTTCATCCTGCTTTTGTTTTATTGCTTTATTAAATTCCTTCTAAATGTTAACGTCAGAATTCTCATCATCATGATTGCTAGCCTCAAAGCTTGAATATTAAATGTAATTAAAAAAGTTCAAACCAATAAAAAATAGAATATTATTATTTTTTCTTTCTTCTTTAATGGATATGGAATGAAAAAAAATTCTTAAGCCGCTTCTAATGTGAGTCGAGTACATGATGAGTGAATTCTCGCTACTCAACATGTTTTTATAAATTTGTGAGAATACGACTTCATAAATAAGAAGGTTTCACAACTGAACTAGTTGCTAGTTAATGGTTGTTGAATTTATGATATCCCATAGAATCAACATCAAATATAATTCATTGACTACAACTAAATAAAATAGCGTTCTTTAATTTTTCTCGGAACTTTTTATTGAATGATTACGTTCTCTGTGTTATTGCTCACCTTTTAGTAGTTTTATGATGTTTTTTTCTAACTTGTAAATTGAGTAAACAATCGGAAAATAAAGCAAACGGAAAAGTTTTCCGTATACCAAGTTCAACATCTAATGCACAAGAATAATCCTTGAATTTGTTTACCCAAATTTCAAAAAGAAAAGAAAAAGTTTTTTCGATTCAGCGATGATGAAATTTTAAAATCATTAGAAATTCTTAATGCTTCATGTTTACCGCCTGCAGTCCTGAATATAATATTAATAATGCTTGCTTGAACTACGTTTTATGGAATATTTTATATAAATCAGCAATTTTAATTACTCTTCGTGTGAAATTTCATCTTCCATAATAATGCTGTATTGATATGGTTTTGTTAGTCAATTGATTGGTTTTAATGTATTTTTCATTGTAGTCCTTGAAAATGCAAAGCTATATACATATACATTTTCAGTTTATCTTGTTTAATTTCTACGAAATTAATTGAAAAAATAAATTATATTAAATATGCGAAAAACTGCAATGTATCTGTATCTGCACTTGTTCAATCAAATCGAATATTTATTTCAAAAGGATATTGATGTGTCACTCGTATTGATGTGATCAGAAGTGAGAAGTAAATTACTTCTATTCATCATCAACTTTTACTGAGCAAATACATATTGCACGACAAAAGTGACATAAACGTATATAGCAAGAAAAAACATGATACGGTTATTGATTGCGGATGAAATCAAATAAATGAATGCGGAACTGACATTGAAGTGAAAACGTGCCTTTAAAGCTGTTCTTGAAAGATTTATTATGAAAGTTCGATAGTTGTGATTGATTTTAAGTACACTTTGTGGAAAACTTTTCCAATTTGCTCTTTTTAAAGTTTTTAAATGACTTGAATGCTTAAGAGGAATTCTGCGTGTAGTTCATACATGAACTTATTAAAAATGTTATTTTATTTCAGTGCAACTTGTTTTTTTTTAACAAGGTGAGAATTGTTAAAACCTGTTAAAGCTATACGAAAATAATTGCATTTTTATTTTTAAAAATTGCAACCCTTAATAAGCAAAATTTTAATCATGTTAATAAAGAGACGTGAAAAAAAAAATTAATACAAATTGATTAATTTATTTTTACTCACTTACATAGACAAACAAAGTGACTTCAAAAAAAGAAAAAAAAAATAGCAGCAGCAATGAGAATTTGAAGAATTTGGCGAATATGTAATAATTTTACAACATTCAGTCATGTGTAGTTTGCTTTCATCCTTGTCATCAAAGCTTTCGTCGCTAAGAATTAAAAAATAAATTTTTCCATAAATTGTATCCCTTTACGAGACGACATGCTAAAGTTCTTTAGAGAAATGTATGAAAAATTACTGCCGAGAAATTTTTTATCATCTTAAAATACTTAAAAGCATGAGTTCTAGATAATAAAAATCTTCGTAAAATATCGTTTCTGTGTACAGCACATGAAAAATTTCTCTCTCACGCATACATTTAAAAACTACAAACTCATATAAGCTCGTATATTTCCCTGAGAGAGTTTCCATCTAAGTTGCCATACATCAGAAGAGAAAATGTATGTGTGTATATATTCCCTAGTTCACGTTAAAGCCAGTTTATTTCTATTATTGATAAAGCTCAACAGTATTTAAGATGCTGTTTACATCGATAACAATCAGTTGGATTCTTGCATACTTTTAAAAAACATAGATAAGAAATTTTTGTGAATGGAACTTTTTTCACAATTTTAGTAACTTTTTAATGCACAACAAAAAGGAAAAAAATTCTGCGGTCAAAACTTTTTGATAAAAAAAACTCTCAACGAGTTTTTTTTTTAATTTTCGACTTTTTTGTTGTTGCTTCTCAACTCACTTGCATGTACATATACACATTCTCTACGGCATGTATTAGACAACGAGAAAAAAATACACAAAAATTATTTTCGAAGAAAAAATTGGATTTTTTGCTTTTAATTCAGTGTATCAGAAATCTTCTATCTTTCAAGAAGCTAATTTCATTACATCCGTTACATTTATTTTTTTCTTCATGTGAGAATTGACAAAAGAAAAGTGTGAAATTAAAATAGTTTTAACAAACATCAAAAAAGTAAATTAATATTAAAAGTGAGACCTGAGTACGAAAAAGTTATATACTGAATTTAAGCAAAGTTATATGAAAGGTACAAAAATTTAATTAAATTTCAAATTCATATCCAGTCATAAAATTCAAAAGTATATAGATCATTTAAGTTTGTCAAACAACCTTTATGTTTGGGTGTGAAATTCGATAATTTTTCTTCAGTGTATGAATTTTCACTCTGGCATTTAAGACCAATTAAATAAATGTGAAAAGATCCAAGTGCAAAATTAATAATTTTTCTCCAAAAACTTATCCAATTTAGTGATAAAATTATTCATTTACTTTAAAGAATCAGAAGTATAAAGAATTATGTTTGTTTTACTTTTAGAATAGATTCAAGTAGACATTTGTGTCTTCAAGTACATTTTGAGTAATTTGAGTTTCTCGAATTTTATTAGAAGATTCTATTTACTATGAATTGAGATTAATCTTACATTTCTGTTCCTAGTCAAAACTTAAAATTTTTTTGTAGGGCAGTTCCAGAAAATCTGTTGATTTTTCGAAAAATAAACTGTGAATTTGCTTTTGCTTCAGGAGCCATTTGGTAAAAAATTTGAATTTAAAAATGTTATTTATAATTGTTTAACAATGTAGGAATTTGAGAGAATGTGTTGTAAATTTTACATAAATGTTCCATTATCCTAAAATGTTCTGTAAAATTCCATATAAAGTACATTATCATAAACATATCACCCTAGTTGGTATTAAAAATCTTCAAATGGTTTTTCATTTAAAGTCAGTATAAAATGAATTTGAAGTGAAAAAGTTGTCTATGACATTTCAGAAAGTGATTAATATAAATCCCTTGGAATTTATTTTACTTCATTGATAACGTTACGGTTTTCTTATTGTTTTGTCAATTAGTAATACTGATAAGTTCATCTTTTAGCTAAAATTATTTAGGGTGGTTCTATTACTATTTCTCTTCTGTTGAATGTTCATTTTATCAGTAATTCAAATAAATATTTAAAAATGTGTAAATAAAACTTATATCTCTACATAAATAAGTCGTAAAAGCCGCATACTTTTGTTTGTAAATAAAAAATGAAAATCCATCACATAGAAAAATCTGTGTTAATCCGATTCTCTAAGTATATTTAATCTTAATTTATGTTGTCAATTTTTCAACAAGTTACAACTGTTTTACAATGTTTAATCGAGAAATAAGATTAATTTTAATTATTTCCACCTGATACTTTAAACCAGAGATCGAAGCCGATTTTTTCGGCTTAACTCAATTTTTGATTTTTTTGATAGAAAAAAGCCATTTGACACCCATTTCAAGTATTTAAATTGAACTTTACATGCTTTACTATGATTCTGTGTAATATTTTGTCAGCATGTAGCTATAGTGAGCTCAGAATTTCAATTTAGCCGATTTTAAGCCGAAATTTAAGCCGATCGGCTTAAAATCGGCTAACTTGAAATTTTGAGCTCACTATAGCTACATGCTGACAAAATATTACACAGAATCATAACAAAGCATGTAAAGTTCAATTTAAATACTTGAAATGGGTGTTAAATTGATTTTTTCTATCAAAAAAATCAAAAGTTGAGTTAAGCCGAAAAAATCGGCTTCGATATCTGCTTTAAACGATCAAATAATTAGCTCAATTGACTCAATAAAATAAACCCACGTGTAAACTTCTAAAAATAAACAGTATCAATTTAAAACTGACATTTGAACTTAATATTTTGACAAAAATTTCAAAACAGTTCCAATATTACACGCTTAAATCATAAAAATGGATTGACCATTACAGAAACAATAATTAATAATCTCATAATTCTCACTGCTACTCAATATTTGTTGCTCAAATATATTCAAATAAAATTACTTCGGCAATTCAATTAAATCAATCAAGAGACTTTAATGAAATTTATTATGATAAAGACGCACAGTTTTAAAGCCGCTAAGACGAATAATCAAAAGTAAATAAATCAAATTTAATTCTAGAGTTAGAAGAGAATTATTTATTAATTTAATTTATTAGCACCATAAAGATCTATGAATGAATTATTTATCTTGATTCTACATTAATCAAGTTTCCTATCCACTTCAAGTATCAAAAGAGAATTTTCTTATATTTCTGAAATTATTTTCCATATACAATGTCAGTTTTTCGATTCACGAAAAATAAGGAAATATTTAAGAATATTATTGGCTCAACTTTTCCGTCTTTTCTTGCAATAAAAATGAAGAAATCGTAAGAAGGTATGTTGAGCAAGATCTCATAAAATGCACATTTTATTGTTCATTTATCTCGTTCAGAATGAAATTAATTTTCTTGAAAATGTGCCAAAAGAAAGAAATTGAACTGGATAGAAAATAATAAGCAGAAAGGACACAATGAAGCAATCTGTAGCTGAAAAGAATTTGATTTATTCCTTAAATTTATTGACTTTCAGATTCATTAAATGCAATCAAACACAGTTTGTGAAATTGAGCCTTTGACTTTAATTTTGTAAATTTTAGAAAAGAAAGAAGAAAATTTACTTCCTTCTTCAATTCAATAGAACAAAATGCAACAAATCATTTCACTTTTTAATGCTTCAAACAGGTTTTATCCCATACCAAATTAAACTTTTTAGTAAAAATGGTAAAAATTAAATATTGATCAATAGTTTTAGCATAAATATTATTTGATTAACCGCAAATTACAAGGAATTAATACAGAAACCTCAGACATACTCTTATCTAGCCCACCCATTATTTCCTATAATAATGATTTTTCTCTTTATTTACATTCATTTACCGAAGATCAACTAGTGTCATTTTTCACTTTATTTGCCACGTTCAATTAATGATTTCGTTAACAATGTTTTCATTTTTTTTTCTTGCCGAAATTGCCACAAAATGAAATGATCAAGCACACAAAAGAGGTGATGATTAGCATGTGAAATCTTATCTCTTTTATTTCACTTCTTGATACAATAAAAGATGAAAAATATACGTTTTATGACTGTCAATTTAGATTGTGATAAAGAAATTTTTTTGATCTTGAATGTTTCAAATGAAAATAGAGACGTTTCATGTACATGACTCAATGTCTCATCTGAGATTGCACTGTCTTTTTTCTCAATAAGAGACAAATTTCATGTGAATGTATATGAGGAGCTCCTTATGTGTGTATGCATGCAAATTCAATCTGAAAGCAAATATGAAAATTAAATGAGTACATCATTTTTTATGGCGATTCATATTACAAGAGAGAATATGTTTTTTTTTGGTTATGAAATTGAGATGATGATGTAGGGGTGTTTGTATTATGAATGAATATTGCTGACATTTAGACTCTTTTTTTTTTTTTTTTTTGGAAATTTTTGTACACAAAAGGATTTTACAGAGATCGAAGCCGATTTTTTCGGCTTAACTCAATTTTTGATTTTTTTGATAGAAAAAAGCCATTTGACACCCATTTCAAGTATTTAAATTGAACTTTACATGCTTTACTATGATTCTGTGTAATATTTTGTCAGCATGTAGCTATAGGAAGCTCAGAATTTCAAGTTAAAGAATGTTAAGCCGAAATTTAAGCCGATCGGCTTAGAATCGGCTAAATTGAAATTCTGAGCTCACTATAGCTACATGCTGACAAAATATTACACAGAATCATAGTAAAGCATATAAAGTTCAATTTAAATACTTGAAATGGGTGTCAAATGGCTTTTTTCTATCAAAAAAATCAAAAATTGAGTTAAGCCGAAAAAATCGGCTTCGATCTCTGAGATTTTAAATTTACATATTTTATTCAAAATACCAAAAATACCTTAAAAAATACTGAAAAGTATAAAAATATTAAATTCTTAGAGAAAATTATATCCATGAGACTGTTTTTAATCTAACTTTTAAAAATGATTATTACACACCATTTGTTAAAATTCAATATTCTAATCTGAAAATTTGAATGTAAAGGGTCACAAGAGTAAATAATAATTAAAAAGTATACCCTTTTTCCATAATCAGAATCATAAACACTCAAAAAAACTTTTATATCCGAGTCCTCGATTAGACAGGTGAATCACGAAAATTTGACATCATGTTATGGTTCTGCTGTAAGCATTTCCTCATTAAGTTTTCATCACGAACCATAAAAATTACTGTGAACCTTTCAATCTTTACGAAAGACGAAAATATATACAATAACTAAATTACCCTTGTCAATTAATTTAAAATTCATACTGTGTTTATGAAGAAGCCATCGATGTCTCCACGTTTTAATTAACGTCAATGATGAAGCTAAAAAATGATCTCGAAAAAGTTCTAAAGCTAATTTTTTGACATCGACACAGAATACTTTGAATTACCACTTTAAGGTATTACAATTTTTGTTTAAATTTTTCAGTTACCTAGTTCTTGCCTTATTGTTCTCTGACTGTTTGTAGCTGAGCAAATAAAAGAGATATGTATTTGGAGATTACCACTAAAGAATTTAACAATATGGCATTACATGAAAGGTATTGTTTTAAAGGACATTTGTAATTAAAAATTATTCAAGCAGCAAATGAAAAATTGAAGCGTATTTCATTTGCTTTATCTAAAGTGTTGCCATCCAATGATAATACAAACGAGTACTTATGATCAAAATTCTTTTTTAATTGGAACATAGACAAAGAATAGTTGAAAATAAAAGAAATTGAACTAAACTGACTTTTTCTTATTAATTATTAATGTCATCTACCTTCATCCTAATTTTGTTACGATTATGCTTCTTTGCATTCAACTTTTTTCACTACTCAACTGTATGATAAATAATTGTTTATAGTACTCACATATGAATATTTTTTATCCGTAATACTTTTTTTGATTTGGTTTTGGTGTCTTTTCTCGTTTTATAGAAAATTTCATAAGCATATTGTGGTACGTACCACATTAAAAATAATAATAATGAAAACATTTAAGCCAGTTTAGAGATGGACCAAAATGCTCAAAGTAAAAATATGATTCAAACTTCAATAGTAATGAAATTTTCTCACATTTCTAGATTTTGGCTCAAAACATAATCTATACCACAGCTGTTGTTTTTTTCATTTTCTGTG